TGTCTTGCCCAGGGACACGACGACATGCTGACTGCAGTGGGGTTTGAACCTGTGCTTTGTTTTACCATCAAACCCTGGTGTTTCTTTTCCGTGAATCCTCCTTCACTGTCGTCTGTTCAATTGCTCAGATTGATTATAATGTGTACTGACTGTCGGTGGGGGGGGGAGATAGGCCAGAGAAGTGAGGACTGGACCGGAGAGGAAGTGTTTGTGGTGCACGGATTATTTTGACCTATTACAATTTGTGATTCCCCTCATGGGCTGTGTTGACGAGTGACAGTGTCAGTCAAGGATGGAGTTGTTGGTTTATGGCTGATTGTGTCATTGCTGATTGTGTCATTGCTTTAGTTAAGAGTGTGGCGGTCATTGCTTATGGTTTCTATGTAGTGCTTCTATTTAAGCTGTTTCCTGTGTTGAGAAGATGTGTTCTCCTTAATCTAAAAGTCTAAAAGAGTAAAACTAAAATTCAGCTTGTTGCTTTAATGGAAGCTTGTTTTTCAGATGTCGAAATGCAGAAGTCCCACTGGTCCATTTACTGAGCAACATTGAAGTAGGCTTTGCTATTTATTTATCTCAAAGGGGATTAGGAATGTCATGCAATCCACTGAGCAGGTGATTAGGATGTTATGCGGCAGAACACCTCATTAAGTCTTCAGAAATTCTACTAGGATTTTTAAATTGATTTGTGTCGTTCAAGGCAGGAAGCACCGAGTGTGACATCTTATTTTAGTTTTGATTCATCACCCTGGAGGTTCTAAGAGTTTTAGGACCCTCCAGGAGCTATAACCTACGGCTATAATGTCCAAAGACGAAGGCCCCAGTGGTGTCATAAACATGTCAGCTCAGTGACGGATCACACTCTGGGAGGGCAACGCAGCGTAGCAGGTACAGACCAATGATGTCCTTCTGATGTGAGCCAGCTGGCTAGATTGACATCATACAAAACGTCCTTCAAGATGAAAGATGTGTTGCAGGTGTGGGATCTATATAATCTCGCAAGACATGAGTTCAGGTAGTGATTCGATGTGATACGATTGAGTAATCTTTCAAATAAAACAGACAAACATCTTGTTTCAGCCTCTGAGTTGCCAGAATTTGGGAGAAATGTCTTCATCTTATCTGAAGTTGGCCTTTTTAAAGGTCTGTTTTTGACCTTTCTTCTATTCCTTTCTCCTTACTTTTAGGGTGTATTATAGTTTTCTACTAGAACATGTTTTCAAGCTTTATTGTTTTTTTTGTTGTTGTTGAACCATCTGCTTGAATTTGACCTGTTTTCTCCCTTAGTCTGAAACAATCCATTTTAGCGCTTGTGAAAAGCCCAGTCTGCTCCGATTGGTCGGTGTTTCCAGGTGTTCTGCATTTGCGCTTTTGCATCTCTGCACCGTAAATCCAGCCAGGGAATGACTTTAACAACACCGCAGAGATACTTTCTACTAATATAATATGTAGTAGTGACATCACAAAGTTACAGAAGCCCTGACAACTCATTTACAGGCACAGGTTCTGAATAAGGGCTTTGTGCATTTGGTGATGAATTGAGAGTTTTGATACTTTCACAGTATTCAGATGGCAAGCAGACCTGCTTTAAGAAACACGGAAATATAAATGTTCCCAATAAAGGAACTTTAAAATAACGGAAACGGGTTATTTATAATGCAACTTTAAAAGCCACAACTTCCTGTTCACCTCTGCATATCCGTCTTCCAGTCTCAGTCCTTTTACCCCACCCATTCTCTCCCCTCTTCCTCCCTAATGGCTTACCCCGTATACTTCACTCCCATCCCAGATCGACCCCTGGCACCCGAACTGCTTCTTCCTCCTCTCCACCTTGATTCAGTCCACTCAGAGCCAGCAGGTGATCACACGCTGCACTTAGCTGCCCCATTTCTATCATAGTAAAACTATAACTCCTGGTCGCTTCGACCTGGTCCAGAAAGCCTTGAGGCCGAGCAGAAAGGCTCTCGGTTTTTGTCGCTGAGGGTTGCATCAGCAGTCAGGAACATATGTGAGTGTTGGGATGAGAGCGCTGAAGGAAAGATGAAAGTGGGGAGGATAGGAAGGAGAGTCCAGGTGAGATGAGAGGGAGTCAGGTTCGGATGATTTTCTGTCCACTCTGTCTGCCTTTAATCTGTATAGATGTTATCAAAGGTTGCTTTAGAAGTGTGTTGGTTTGTGTAAAGGCACGTCTTTCTTCTCTCTCTCACCTGCCTGGACTATTGATCTTTGCAGAGATACGTTTTTTGATCGTGATGATTGCTTTTCTTCTATTGTTTTCAACTACCCGAATCACGTGGAATGAATAACAGATGTGGGATTGATGGTGATTTACCCTGAGATTCATAGCCTACTGATGGATGCAGAGGCTTTAAAATGCTACATAAACAGCAGCGGCGGCAGAATGCACCGTATGTTGCCGTGAGAAGAATATGTCAGGTGTCAGGCTGAATCAGCTCATAGCCTTTGGTTTATTTTGTAGTGATCCAGAAAATCCCAGTGTGGAGTGAAACAGGTAGCTGATCCCAAGCTGAACCTTTGTATTGCCTCTTTTATTCACAAATAAACTTAAAATACTGGAATGATATATTCCATTAATTTCTTTACCGCTTATTTTCTCCCAATTTATTCAATGTGTTGCTTATTTTTCATTACTGGGCCGACATTGCTGAGATATTGGTTTTCTTTTTCTGTGTTTTTTATTTTACAATTGAATAGAGTGGTGCAGGGATGACGTATTTACCCGGAAATAAGCTGCGCATGGGTTCCCTCGACAAAAAAGGAATGGGAGTTCTCCATAGGATTTTGGAAAATAGCTCGAAATAAGATCTGTGGAAAACGAACCCGTTTGATAAATGCACGTTTTGTTCAGCCGGATAATCTCCACATGTCTACCCTACTTTTATAATTTTCGAATCACAAATCTAATCGCCAGAAGCAAAATGCTAACGTTATGCTATAAAGGAACTACAGCAGGGTCGCACGACTTCAACTTCACGCCCACTTAAGATCCATATTCAATCATACAGATTCTAAATGGTAAAAGTTGAAGCGTTTGTTTGAACAGTTTGCAGGAGGCAGGTACTTGCTTTCAAGCAGAACAGGGGCAAACAAATTTAGCGGGAGTGTTTACGTGTTCGGCGTAATGACGTACAACGTCGTCGACAACTTCTGTAGTCCTATTCAGCCACTTGTTAACAACCATCGTTTTTCAGACACGTAAACTCTTCAGAAATCACCAGTGGGGTCACTGCTGATGTATTTAATGTCGTAGAACAAAACGTGATCTCTCTCTTAAACTTGTGTCAACCACAGACCTTATTTCCAGCTATTTTCCAAAATCCTATGGAGAAATGCCATTGGCTCTGAGACGAGGGAACCGGTAGTGGTAAAATGCTAACTCACTTCCGGGTTTTAGGACTCGTCCCTGCACCACTCTATTACATTCTGTATGTTATCACACAAAGTTGTAGACATCATAAGAAAACGATTGAATGATATCTGTTTCTCTCTCCTTTCCTCTCATCATTTAAAAAAAATAGTCTTGTTCCTGGAAGCCACTTACCTATTTTTGACATTTGTGAGACAGTTCTTATCTTTCTCTTGAGTCAGCCTCTTTCATCTTTAGCTCTAAGTTGATATGTTTGCTCAATTGTCTTGTCTCGTGCCCCCCCCCGCACTTCTTCTTGGACTGCTTGCTTGTTTCCTCCTCTTTATATTCATCACTGTCTCTTCTCCTCTTTGTATTTGTCATTTCCCTCTGTCTCCCCTCTCTTATTTCTGTCTGTGTTCTTTGTCAGCCCGTCTGTCTTTTCCCTTTTCTTGCATCTCATCCTTTCACATAATATTCTCTGTCTATCTCTGTCTGTCTGTTGTCTTGTTTCCACTCTGAATCCCTGCAGGGTTAGTTCAGCGGTTTACTTTGTGTCTCTAAAGCCCTGGAGATGAATTATTGAACACTCTGACCTCTGTGTGTGTGTGTGTGTGTGTGTGTGTGTGGGTGGTGTGTGTGTGGTGTGTGTGTGTGTGTGTGGTGTGTGTGTGTGTGTGTGTGTGTGTGTGTGTGTGTGTGTGTGTGTGTGTGTGTGTGTGTGTGTGTGTGTGTGTGTGTGTGTGTGTGTGTGTGTGTGTGTGTGTGTGTGTGTGTGTGTGTGTGTGTGTGTGTGTGTGTGTGTGTGTGTGTGTGTGTGTGTGTGTGTGTGTGTGTGTGTGTGTGTGTGTGTGTGTGTGTGTGTGTGTGTGTGTGTGTGTGTGTGTGTGTGTGTGTGTGTGTGTGTGTGTCTTTTCTCTCTGATTTCATTTCAAGTGCTCCTGGTGTAGTATGTGTCTCTGTGTGTGATTTGAACAAGTGTCTGTCTGTGTGGGTAACTTGTACTGGGCAGTCTTCTACATTAAACAATAATAATATTAAAGATTTAGCACTTTTCAGCTTGCCTGTTCTCTAATGAAATACTTCACTCTAAAAATGAACATTTGTATCGTGCACACAGGCATCATGATGCTGGTTGTCTTCATTTAATTTACTTACATAAATAGCTGAACATTTCCAGTCCTGTCTGGGCCATAACAGATTGTTCTAGTCTAAAAAACAACAACCTCATAGCTGCACTAAAGGCCTCTTCAAGTGTCCCTTTTCCTTTTATTTGTCTTTATTCGATGGCTCACTGGAGAGACAGAATGTGAAATGAAGAAGAAAGAAGATGGAATATATATATGCTTTATTTCTCCTTTTCGTGATTTGCCATGCTGTTGAAATGATGTAGTAACTCCTCAGCAAAGCTCTTTGTATGCATCATCCATCAAAGTGAAATCCCTGAAAACTAAAAAGGCACTTAAAGAGACATTCATGATAAATCTGGATCTGCTTTCAAATGTAACGGGTTATTTCTTCCTTGAACAATGCCACACCCTGCCACTAGCTTTCCCGTGATACTTTACACAAACAGACAATAATCCAGCAATCCATGATGCCTTCTAATCCGAGTCTTTCTGTGTTTCGTCTCCAGGCTGTTCAACCTGACTCTGAAGAAGCTGATCATGCTGAAGGAGCTGGATAAAGACCTCACCTCTGTGGTCATCGCCGTCAAACTGCAGGTAAGAGAATCCTCTCTACAGTCGGACAATAAAATAAACAAACGTTGCTTACGGCAGCAGTAGTGAGGGGAAAGAGGTTCATGATGGAAGACCCAAAGCTCACAACAATGAAATAGTTTCAATCACAAAATCCCAGCAGAGAAAATATGCCATGAAACGGTAACTTAATGTGGAATTTGAATTTAAGAGTTGTTTCTTTTTTTGTCAAGTTTAGATTATTAGATCCGGACACACTTCCTCTTTCTGTAACTTCCCCACACTTGTCTACTCTTTATGATTTGTTGTTGTCATACTTGAGGGAAGCTTCCAGTACAGTATTACATTTCTTACAATTTGACACCTTTTTGACAGCAGAGGATAGCAAGCTAAAATAAATAACTCGTATGATATATTTTGGTTAAATTAAAAAAATACATCAAATCAAATCAAATCAAGTTTTATTTATATAGCACATTTTTAAAACGTTTTTGGTCGAGCCAAAGTGCTGTACATATAATAATTACCTTACAGTAAGGACACTTTACAGCAAATACAACAGCACAGTTTGTGCAGAATATTAGTATGAGAAAACGACACCCTCTGTCCTTAGACCCTCACATCGTACAAGGAAATTAAGGATGAATATTTAAGATTAAGTGTTTTCTCCATTCTGCTTTGTGTGCTCTCCATCATCTCCATCTTGTCCAATATTAAATACAGATTCTCATAGTCTTTGTGTAAATACATTTGAAGGCCCCTTTAAGGCTGTGGCTCCACTCCCAGTTTCTGCTCCTTGGCTTCGGTTCACTCTCCACCACCTCCATCTTGTTTTCTATCTAAGCAAACCAAAGTGATCTGCACTTAAGACACTTTAAGCTGTTTTAATTCTTTTTCCATGCTGCTGCTGTTACTCTCTCCATCTTCCTTCCTATCAGTCACTTTCCTCACTTTCCTCCCACGCTCCACTGCCCTGCATGTGGTTGATTAGTTTATTGTTTTGACTCTGCTGGAGTTACCCGGGTTTTGCTAATTATAATGTTTCCATCGTTCCCTGCTCCCATGACATCTCTCTTTTGTGTTTTTTCTTCTCCTTTCGTCGCCTCCTCAGGGCTCAAAGAGAATCCTGCGCTCCAACGAGATCCTGCTGTCCTGCGCAGGCCTGACGGAGACCGACCTTGCATGCTCACCTTCTCCCGGCAGGTAAACACACTAAGGTATAGGGGGCCATCAGGGCACCGTCCGTCAAAGTTAAGCAAAACTATGTTCTTGTATTTCTTTTAGACAAATAGTGTGTGTGGTGTGTGTGGTGTGTTGTGTGTGTGTGTGTGTGTGTGTGTGTTGTGGTAGTGTGTGTTGTGTGTTGTGTGTGTGTGTGTGGTGTTGTAGTTGTGTAGGTGTGTAGTAGGGTGTGTGAGGATGTGTGTGGGTGTGTTGTGATGTGTGATGTGTGGTGTGTGTGTGTGTGTGTGTGTGTGTGTGTGTGTGTGTGTGTGTGTGTGTGTGTGGTGTGTGTGTGTGTGTGTGTGTGTGTGGTGTGTGTGTGTGTGTGTGTGTGTGTGTGTGTGTGTGTGTGTGTGTGTGTGTGTGTGTGTGTGTGTGTGTGTGTGTGTGTGTGTACAATACAACTCTTACAGCTATGTGAGGCTGATAAGAATGTTGTTAGTTTTGTAATACATTGATTTAATTTGTCGCATAACAAAAGTATATCTGTTATTGTTGACCCTCCTATGGTGTATGTATACATAGAGGGACAGTGCAAATAAAAGGCAAAACAATAGACTTAGTAAGAGGCAGGAATCAAATAAGTTCTCATCCATGGAAAAAAAAATAAGTAGCAGTTATATAATAATAATTGAACATATACAAGTTGTTGCTTACAATGTCATGAACAATGTTTTCCTAGACCTGTTCATGCATCAACACTCGTACAGCGTTAACATCCTGCCATGCATTCAGGCCGAGCACGACTAATGTAAATCCCAGCAGAGTTTCTTCTGCTCTAAATCATCCTCTCCAATTTCCATGTATCTAAATGCTGCTAAAAGGTCAGCGAGTTTCTCTCTGTGGATCTTAGCGCGCGCACTGAGCCAGACATTATACATTATACATTCAACTCCCTACACTGCGGAGAGGAAGCCTATTAAAACGGAGCGGCGGAGTGATTTCAAGGCTTTGAACATAGTTTCAGAAGTGGCTTTTGTTCCTTTTTATAGTGCAGATCCTTAATGACGGGTTAGGTCATAGTGAGGATGTGACTAAGTGGCTCGACACCTCAGCACGCCGGAGACAGGTCTGCGGGTGTCGAGGTCTTACGCAACCAATCGGCCTCATTGTCACGACCTGGGAAACAAAGTCATCGCTGTATCAGTCTGGCTCTGAACTTGTGTTTTATTTGTGTGTATTTGTTCCCCGCAGTACCCACACTTCCTGAAGAGGGACGCCAACAAGCTTCAGATCATGCTGCAAAGACGGAAGAGATACAAGAACCGAACCATGCTGGGCTACAAGACCCTCGCTCTGGGTCTCATCAACATGGCCGAGGTACCACCACCCACTCAGCTCTTAATGTATCGCACAGAAGGGATTTGTGATGTGTTTACATTTAAAAGATAACCAATCAGAGCAGACTGGGCTCTGGACAGAGGGTGGAAAGAGGTGCTGCAGCACAGGCAGTATGAGAAAAATAAAGAGCTTTTTGAACATTAAGACACTACATACTGATATACACCTGAACATGAGCATATTATGTCCTCTTTAATACACTTTTGCAGGGTAGATGGAGAAAAGACTTCCTTTTACAATCTCTCGTAGCCTTTTAGTGTGTCTTCAGCAGCTCCAGAGCAGCAGATGGAGGTTAAGCTGTGAGTTGTCGAGTCAGCGAAGTGTCGTCCTCTTCTCGTCCCGACTGATCTGAGCTGTTGACCCAACAAAACACCGGTCAAAGCCTCATTTCCCTAAACATGCAGCCTCTGCCTTCTGCTGCAGTCCAATCTCTCCGTTGAACTGATCTCATTAACTGTCGTCACAGTGATTTCTGACCTGATATCAACCAGAATATAAGAGGAATTCTCTCTCATTCAGGGACTTTTATTAGGACATATTTAGCTTTAACCTTCATTTACCCTTCATCCAAACTCAATTTCACCTAGTGCACTTTAAACTAAAACTCGGATTTCAATCTTTGGCCTTGTGTTCTTTTTCCGGCACGCCATAAATGTCGCCATAAATCAAAGTCTGTGGCCTCGTCTGCCAAAAGCTCCTCGCAATTCTCCGTCTACCACAACAAGAACGTTTTCTCAAAGGCTTCTGATTTATGGTGTGTGTCTGTACATGTGGATGTTTCGTTGAAGGTCAGAATTATTTACAGTGTGTAACACCTCAGATTTAATGAGTAGTCTTTTATCAAGAGCAAATTAACCCAGATTCACCCAATAGGATGCGAGTACATCAGAATCAGATAATAGATCTTGTGAACTCAAAACTTTAAGAAAAGTATTTTTATTTCCAACACAGTATGTTGCTCCAGCCTTTGGCCTGCTGCTGCCTCTGCATACAAAACAACGTCACTTTTTATTCATGAAGCTATTCTAGCAGACAGGTTGTGCTTTGGAGAGGGCAAAGGACATGAACGCCGACTCGTACGCATGATGGGTTCAAACTAATTTCATTCACAGGCACAGTAAAAGCCTGAACTCTGCCCCGAGCTCGAAACGGGTCGGAAAAATAAAAAGCTATAGGGGACTCACTCAGGTTTTCAGTTTATTCAGTTCTATCAGAAGTCACGAAGTTTTCACTGACAGCAGGGAGTGTGAAGAAAACTTCTAAACTACTGTAGCAATACTTTTACTATAAACTCAAACTTGTACGAGGTATAGGTTTGTCAAAATAAAAACAGAAGTAGAACTCACAGAACAATTTCACACTGAATTTGCCTTCATTTCCCATAATTCACTCTGTTGTCAGTCTGTAACCGGTTACAGGTTTCCAGTATCAATTAATGAAGTACATTTTCTTGATGAATAATTTTGCTCTATGATTCTTCAAAAAGTTATCAAATCTGAGTTTCATGATGGTGAAAAATCATATTAAATTTCACCAAGATTTTTAAGATTAACATTGTTTAACTTCCATGTTTTTCTTTGCAATCATTTCCCATAGTCTTTAGTAGCCAGAAAACGTTTGCTGCACCCTTTCCGCAAAAATACATCAAGAACTGCTTACGGAGACATATTATGAATGTTGTTCTTGATTATGCAACATCCTGTAATCTCTGACCTTTTTCCATTTACTTGGCATTTGCACTACTTCAGCTAGCACAAATATTATTTAGCTTTTACTTCCACTTGGAACACACAATGCTGAGCAGTAATGTGATTATCTACCTTATAAAAGCATGCTTTTAGAGAGCATTCACTGCATGGTTTCAAGCATAATGCGTTATAAGTTTAAAAGATGAACCTGCAGGTAATTTAGTCGCCGATTGGAAAATGTAGAATTAAATTAATTCTAATAAAACATGTATTAGAAAACCTTCTTTTTTTTCACCTGTCAGATTTGCATAAAAGCCTTTTCCTGGGTTAAAATCATGGATGTATAATAAGAACTGGATACAGCGTGGAAGGCGGGCTCTCGTTCTTTCCTATGAGAGCTGCTCATTGGCGCATGAAGACAAAATGGCCCAACTTTTGAGAGAGCGAAACGTCACAGATTACCCATCATGCCTGGCTGTCAGAGCAGAAGAACCCGTATGTGCGCTCATAGAGCATGCGCAGTTGAGTTGCCCCTTAAGCCCCGCCCCCGAGCTCCCACTCTCAGATGCGCGTTCATAATGCCGAGGAAAAGAACTCTCAGAATAACGTTATTAGCACATTTTACAACTTGAGGACCGAATGTTTTTAATAAGGGCTATACAAATGTTCATACCGGGTAGTTTATTTAGTTTAAAAACGATTTACAGACCACTCTTTCCCAATGTGTAGTACCGCCGTTTGGCCACAACGAATATTTTCCTCAGAGTCCGGCGCACTTCCTGGGGGCTTGGTTAAAATGTGCAGCTACAGGAAGCTTTTTTAGAGCTAGCATTAGCTTTTGAAGCAGGTTAGCTGAACCCCAGCAGTAATGTCTCTCTGTGATGTGTGGCTCAGGCTGTCTCCATAATAAGCCGCTCAGACTTCATTAACTCAGCGAGTGTGACCAGACTGCTGACAGAGGCTGGGTGTCACTCTGTTAGATACACAACAAACACTCACACACACACACACACACACACACACACACACACACACACAGAGGCAGGAGACGTGATGCTGCTGTTTGCTGCAGAGGAAGGACTTTGTATGCGTCACATGTTCAACTTTCCCTGGTTTTGTTAATCCCCTGCAGCCATGTTCCTTTATCTTTCTCTTCTCAACACCTGCTTCACGTCTGTCCTCATTTCTTCTCCTGCTGTCTAACCTGTCTTCCTCTCTGTCTACAGAGCCTTTATGTCGGGTGTGTCTCTCTTCCTCTTCTTGCTCCTCTCCCTCTGATGCTGTTTGAATCCCATCCTGTGTTTATCCCCGCTGTGTGTAGAGAACCGCAATTGAAATATTTCTGGTAGAAGTTTAAATATCTGACTTTTTTTCCCTTCAGTTATTATCTTGTTGTTTCCATTTGAATATGTTAGCATTCATTTGCATCTCATTTAAGTAACATAAAAGCTAAGGCACTTTCGAAGTTGGAGAAAAATAAAAAATAATATAAAAGACATTTATAAAGATGAAAACCGAATCGAAAACAATGAAAACCAATGTCCATCAATGACATAGAATTTATTGTAGCTCAATAAATGTTTCATTTTTACTCTAGTAGAGTTAGACATGAAAATAAATTACAATATGAGACTATTACCACCTAGTATGTCTGTGATATCATGATCTTGAATATAGATTTTCCCTGATGTTAGACGGCGGGATTTTGCTCTGACGACTAAGAAGCACCATTTTGACATTTTAACTTCCTGCTCCCCTAGTTTTAATTTTTTAAATGTTGAATGGGATTAACAATGCATCAACTTGTGATTTTTCAGTTGAAGGCTATCTAGATAAAACCGGAAAATGCTAACGTGTAGTGTGTTGTCTTCTCCGTGCAGGTGATGCAGCACCCCAGCGAGGGGGCTCAGGTCCTGGGGCTGCACAGCCAGCTGAAGGACGCCTCGGTGCCCGTCGCTGAGATCAGAGTCTACTCCCTGTCCAGCCAGCCCATCGACCACGAGGGGCCCAAAGCAAAGATGTCCGGTGAGAACGACACCTCAACAAATCTTGTCTCTCCTCCCCTGTTTGTCCTCCTGTCTCCTCTAACGTCCTCTGTCTCCGCAGATCGCTCTCCAGACATCGACAACTACTCCGAGGAAGAGGAAGAGAGCTACTCGTCAGAACAGGAAGGCAGCGACGACCCCATCCACGGACAGGTGTGTTTGGAAACGTGGAAATAACGCCGTCACATTTGTTTTCTGTGCTTCAATTTGCTAGATGCAATTCTCAACAATAGCTTTTTTGGAGGGAAATTTAATAAAAACTCTAAAATCTTTGCTATTAATTCTTAATTTTACCTCAAAAGAAAGTGGTTCTGATAATTAAAAATACAGTTGGCTTGTATACAACCTGCTAATTTGATGGATTAGGCCTATGATACCAACCCTCAGTAGTGCAATTTTAACATCGCCGATCAAACAATAGCCAAAATAATGACATTATTCGTCCCTGTTGTAAACCTTTAAAAATGGCAGACAAACACATAGTGAAATGTTTTATAAAAGGCTAATTTAATGCATTCTGTTCTGTACAAAAAAGCTGGGCACTGAAGTCTTTATCTACTGCTACTCCAACGAGATTAGATGCTTTTTCTTGGGAACTATTTTAAGCTGTGGATTAATATTCTTCATTTAAGCTAGTGCTTATCTGCAGCCGGCGGACTGTGCTCTGTTTGCAGAATGGATTACAGTAACATACATTGTCAGCAAGTGCAACAATGGACGCTCCCAGACTTTACTTGTTAGTGGGATCAAATTATTGTTGCCTTTGGGTCTTTTTAATAGGATTTGCGGACAGTAATAAAATAAAAATGTAAGATATCGCAACCCTTATCCTTTAAAACCCAAAATGTAATAACTTTCCCTCTCTCTCTCAGTATCTATTTGACGAAGAGGACGAGGTGAGGAAGAAGAAGCCGAGGCGCAAGCTCCCTTCAAACGCCGCAATCACCCGAGTAAGAGAAACACCTCTCTCACCTCATCAATCCTCCCCCCTTTCTCCCTCCCTTTATCCATCTGTATTCTATATGTCCTGCTTGTTTTGTCTCCGAAGCAATTTGTGGCAAACCTGCTTGTGAAAAGTCTTTTCAAGTCAAATTGATTCAACTCGAGTGAAACCCTCGCCCTCATCTGCCTCTTGCCTCACCTTATTCAACCTCTCCTCCTCCTCTGCCTCCCCCTTCCTCCCTGCCTCCCTGCCTCCCTCCCTTTTCTGTTGTTCCAAAAATCTATTTCCTCCCTCTCCCTCTCCCTCTTTCAATACATGTGATTCAGGCCAATTTTCTGGGAGGAAAACGTTGAAGCAAATCATCACAAGCACCCGCAATTATTGGAATGCATGGCCACATTCTCACACACACATTTACACAAACAATCAGCAGGAGCACAGAATAACAATCAGACATGTTGGAAACCCTCCACATTACAATTGACCTTCAATTTGACCAGGGGAAAGTGTGTGTGTGTGTGTGTGTGTGTGTGTGTCAGTTTGTCTCAGCAGGTTATTAATGGAGCGCTCCTGTGGAGTCCCAGCGAGATTGTCACTGCTGCTCCCCAACACCACCGCCTGTGGATAACACACACACACACACACACACACACACACACACACACACACACACACACACACACACACACACACACACACACACACACACATACATATATATAATAACCATCATTTCTGCTCTGCTTGAGGGGATGAACACACACACATTAGACACACTCAAAAGCCATTACAACAGACCATTTTCTCTGAACTGTGGTTGGAAAACACACTCATATACACAGAATGATTATCATAACCACAGTCCAGCATGAGGTCATTGCTCTTACATTTTTAGCAGCAAGTGAGGACACGACTCCCAAAAACAAAACAACTCTCTACAGCCACTCAGATATCCAATAATGTCGCTGATGGAAGCTTTGCCCACAGCTGATATGATCTCTATCTACCAAAAATATACAGATTTTACACAAGGAGCATCATTGTTGTAACGAATGTGTTCCCACACATCCAAATACTGTCCACCAAAGACCATTTACATGCACAACAACCTATATAACACACTACAGGAAAGGGAACCCCCACCCAAAAAAGCATAATAGGGCCTCTTTAAATAAGATTTTTACCCATTTTTAATCAAAACAAAATGGATGATGTGTAGATATGTAGTTTCACAGTTCATTGTTAAGCTGGCCGGCTCACAACTCTACTTTTAAATATCACTTACATTGCTGTCTTATTTCTTTAAGCTTTAAAAAACCTCTTTACACTTCCTGCTCAGTACCAGAAAAACAAACACAGTGGGTCATGAACGCAAAGCAGCATTTAGCAGCCAAAGAGTGGAATATGAGGTAGGTAGAGACCAAAAGCAGAGCTAAAAGAGAGTGAGAATTGGGCACGTTTACACAACTCTAAAGAAATATTAATGTTGCTCCATAGCTGCTGCATATGTAAATAAGCAACTGATAACACGTTATTCATATCAGCAATGCCATATTGTCCTAACAACTTGTTTCCTTTGCCCCAACGTAATCAAATATTGCAAGGTTAAAATAAAGTTGACAATATAAAAGTTCAAACAGCTGAAGATCTTCTATCCTCCTTGACTTTTGTAGAAAAATGCGGTCGATATAAAGTTTCTTTCAATGTTTTTGACTTCAAGTGCGCATTAAAAAAAAACCTGAACTGCTGAGTCACTTTTAATCAATGCTCCCACCTTGCTTTCAAAATGACTCAGTGTTCAATAACTAAACAGGCAAACATCTGCCATGGGAGGCGTCGACGGAACAACCTCTCATATTCCAGTTTAATAACACAATATGAAATGCACGGAAACATCTGCGGAGGTAACACTTTATGTGACACGCAGAAATATGTCCTGGTGGTGTATCCATTAAGTGCTGCTGTTCTGAGTCATCGAGCATGAATAGCACATCTTTCCCCTCCCTCACACACAGAAATATGAACATCAATCTCACATTGTCTTCTTTCTCTCTCCGCAGCAACCCAACATTAAGCAGAAGTTTGTCGCCTTGCTGAAAAGGTTTAAAGTCACTGATGAGGTAGGTGGCTTCGGCTTTGTCACACGCTTTCACTTTGGGTATGTGTTTGCTCCAGAGGTTGTTGCTGGAGTCGACATGTTGTGGCTTTGAAGACGCAGCGAGGTGTGTGGGAGGGATGTGGCAGAACAACCGGGAGTCGGCTCAAACAGTAAACACTGTCGAATTAAAATAGAACAGAAATGTGTTTATGTGCCTCTGGAGTCCATCAGAGTGTGTGTGTGTGTGTGTGTGTGTGTGTGTGTGTGTGTGTGTGTGTGTGTGTGTGTGTGTGTGTGTGTGTGTGTGTGTGTGTGTGTGTGTGTGTGTGTGTGTGTGTGTGTGTGTGTGTGTGTGTGTGGTGTGTGTGTGTGTGTGTGTGTGTGGTGTGTGTGTGTGTGTGTGTGTGTGTGTGTGTGTGTGTGTGTGTGTGTGTGTGGTGTGTGTGTGTGTGTGTGTGTGTGTGTGTGTGTGTGTGTGTGTGTGTGTGTGTGTGTGTGTGTGTGTGTGTGTGTGTGTGTGTGTGTGTGTGTGTGTGTGGTGGCTTATTTTGTAATAATGACCACCTCACCGACAATACCCGCCTAATTACAAGGCTAAAGAAATGATTAATTTTACAAAAAATAATGTTTTAAATAGTTGTTATTGCTTCTGCTGAAACAATCAGACCGCTCACTTTTTTATGAGATGGAACTGCGTTCATAGTGACGGCCTGTTATTCATACCAGCAGTCTGTTATTAAGAAATAACAGACCATAGAATTCTGTTATTGACCAATCAGAAGCGAGTATTCAAGAAAGACCTGTATATGTCTGTTTATGTAAGGGACAATGTGCAGTGAACTGGTCATTGTAGTGAAAAGAACCTTTCTCATTAGTATTTCTGTTTAAGAAGAATATCTTTTTTAGTATTTCAGGCAACTCAGTATTTGATTCTGATTCAGAGCGCTGCTTATATTGAGATTATAAAATATCAAATTGCTTGATATGATTTTATAATTTTTTTCTTCTCCCTGTGTTACTACTTTTAAAATATATCCTTATACACATTTACTTTTTGCTGTCGTTGAAATCTCAGCCATGTGGGTACATTCTGATGTCAACAGGAAAGAGTGTGTGTTTGGTACCACAGTTGGGAACAACATATGTCTCCTCAGTAGGGATTATCACCTCTCAGGGGAGCAGGTTGTTGACACTTCTGTTTGCGTTAACAGAACCAATCAGAGCTGGTTGGAAAAATGTTCACACTGTGCCTGTGAATGTCGGTCACTTATCTCCTCTGCTTCTCGTCCAGGTTGGTTTCGGCCTGGAGCACGTGTCAAGGGAGCAGATCCAGGAGGTGGAGGAGGACCTGGACGAGCTCTACGACAGTCTGGAGATGTACAACCCCAGCGACAGCGGGCCGGAGATGGAGGAGACCGACAGCATCCTCAGCACGCCCAAACCCAAACTAAGGTGGCTGCATAAACCTACAACACGGCTCATATATAAAGACATATAGACATGCTGCATCCAAAACACTGATAGGACTCTCTGTTGTTCAGAGCTCCCTCTGTTGGTGAAAACTGCTCATTGTCATCATGTATTGAAGTTTATTTTAGGTTATCTCGAACCACAATCTGGTTGGTTGCCTTTTATTTTTATCTGAATGTCAACCAAAACCCCAAATCTCATATCGAATGGTTTATTTAAAACATAGGCTTTAAAAGTAAAGTTTCATGAAGTAAAGATGGGAGGGACATGTGATCATAGATATATATAAACACTAGATGGCTCAAGGGGGGAGTCGCCAGCGTAGCTCACCGGTGGCCATCTTGCCACAGTCAACAACTATTGCTACAGCTGTTGTAAGGTGACTCGCTGAAATCTTGACTGATTTACAAAAGGTTTGGTTTATTATAAACGTTATTAGCATGGCTATGATACAGGAGACAACAAGACATGTTGAAAAAAAAAGTTCATGATTATAAGTATGCAGTATCATAACTACATATTTGATGTTTATAATAAACCAAACCGTTTGAAAATTGAGCAATCTACAGTTATTTCAATAGTGCACCATAGACCTAATGTTATGAATGAGCGAGCTGCCTGTGGCAAGATGGCCGCCATGTGGCAACGTCGGTCTCCATTGGCCAGCAGCGCGGGTGAGTCATCTCGTGTTTATATATATCTATGCATGTGATGCTGATCATTGTTTTGAGAAAAAAGGTTAAAGTATCTGCTTTAAAGATATGAATACTCTTTGTCATGAACTCCAGGAAGGTGTATTTTTAGGAGATCAATAACAGAGGGTCAAAGAGTAGCATTCAAACTTATTTTTATTCCCTCCTTGTGATCCCAGCGTACATTTAGCCTCAAAATATGACTCAAAATAGCACTATTTGATGGTGTTGAATGTAGTGTAATAAATGGTCCAATATAAATAGACTCTCATGAGACACTGCTGATTTGCCACAGTTCTGTTTAATGTTATCAGTATCACCTGTAATGTCCCTATATCAAACTAAGCTGTAAGACAGACACAATACTAGACAGATTTGATTTTGTTTTCTGATGTTCTGTCTGTCTGTGTTTTCAGGCCGTTCTTCGAGGGAATGTCTCAGTCCAGCTCTCAGACGGAGATCGGCAGTCTGAACAGCAAAGGCAGTTTAGGTCGAGACACTTTCAGCCCGGTGAGTAACTCTGATCCAGGAAGCAGCCGCTGCAGCATCAGCAAGAATGTAACTTATGTGAGCTGTGGGGCTTTCATGTGGCGCTCTAGAAACCCTAAACCATTGAGCTGAGTAATCTTTATTATTCCCAAAGGGTGTTCAACTTCAGACAAGACCTCATTTAAATTGTGTACAATGGACTAGTGATACAGGTACAATACTTACCTAGGACTACTCATAGCCAATTTACCTTGGCCTTAAATCAACAATCTGAAAATAAATAACTTTTTTTTGTTTGATCCAGTCACAGCCAGTCAAAATATACAACCAAAATATACATGTAGATATTTTTATTCAAATTATTTTCTTAAAAAAAATTATATATTGGCCTTTACAAAAATAATCCCTTTAAATCATCACTTTTTAAAGACTTTTTACTCAAATTATTCAAACATGTTGTACATCCTGGCCATTTTACTGTGAGATGTGTTGATGTAATTATAAATATTTTCTTAATTACACAATAAACTCCACTCACATAGTCCTAACCTAGTACTTATTCAACAAAGTGCTTCATACAGTTTATCCGTGGCACTAGATAGCACACAGTGATATAAAGAACTGGAAGGAAACACTTTTAATTGAAGCTTGAACACAACATGCGTCTCTGCATTGATGAGGGAAACATCCAGAATGTGAAGCCTTTTAAAATGGCCCATCAGGGGGGGCGGTGTGCAAATGTAAAAAATTCAAAAACGTTTGCTTAATGGAGCAGGAATCAAATTGCTCTTTTACGGTCGCCATCTGCTCGATAGAAAGAGTGTTGAATGTGCTGAATGGATTTCACTGCAGTTCCCTCTTTAACAGTAATGCTGAAGTAAGCCTTTCAGGGTTGGGACTAGTGTTTGCACACTTCCTGAAAATACGTTTTTCAGTGGAAAACGTCTGCTTTCAATTCAGTAAAAAAGATTGGTTATAATGTTTTTTCCTGTTGCTGCAAGTGCAAAATAACTTCTGTAATTGCTTTATTTTCAAAAAATCCAGTCCCATTAAGCCTGTAGACTGAATGCAGTGTCCTCGTTTCCCCAGCAGGGGGAGCAGCCTCCTATAGAGAAGATGAAAACCTCCCGCAGCCGCAACCTGGAGGAGGCTCTATCTGAGACTGACACACTGGTATGACTCTGTGTGTGTGTGTGTGTGTGTGTGTGTGTGTGTGTGTGTGTGTGTGTGTGTGTGTGTGTTGTGTGTGTGTGTGTGTGTGTGTGTGTGTGTGTGTGTGTGTGTGTGTGTGTGTGTGTGTGTGTGTGTGTGTGTGTGTGTGTGTGTGTGTGTGTGTGTGGTGAGTTAATGATCTTTGTTAATAGCACTCCATCGGAAACTGGCTGCCATCTGCGCTGTAAGTGAGACAGATTGAGAGAGACGGAGAGAACGGAAGACAGAGTGAAATAAAAAGTAATGGAGTCGGAGTATCTCCTTTTTCTGACACTGTCATTGTGTGTGTGTGTGTGTGTGTGTGTGTGTGTGTGTGTGTGTGTAGGAGCTAACAGATCAGGAGCTGTTTGCTGAGGTGGGCCCCTGCATCACGGTGTCGGTGGCAGAGAAACCCCGTACGCCTCTGAAGAGCAGCAAAAGTGAAACCCAGGCCATGCCATCACCAAGGTAACCAATCACCCCAAATCACAATAAAAACCACACATGGTGGCAAACTGAGATATTTCATTTTATTTAAATATTTTTGGCATTTATGCATCTACATTTGTATGATTGATAGGTTCATATGTGTACAGCATTTGTATCTATTCCTGCATTCAACACTGAATATCTTGGCAATCTATGATGCCATTTGAGCTTTTTTTTAATCATGCTGCACCTTTGTTCTGTCTCCCTCAGGTTGGATGGAGGCAACACGCCCCGACAGAAGCGCATCAGCACCCCCATGAAGGAGAGACAGCTGTCCAAGCCTCTGAGTGAGCGCACCAACAGCTCCGACTCCGAGAGATCCCCGGAGCTGGGACACAGCGCGCCCGTAAATTACCATCCTTTTCTCAGTCCTTATCATGAGCTACACAATCATTTTACCGGAGCATACGGACATAAATCATCCTGTCGCAGTACAGACATTTACAAAAACAACTGCCTTTGTTCTTTGTCCGCCTCTTTGTTTTGTTTTTTTCCAAAGTAAAGAACACAAACTATAATCTGTGACTCCCAGGAGCTCGGGAATGAATAATTGATTTGCTCATGAGTCATCTGAAGAGTAAATGTGTTGCTGTAGGGAAGTGTATGACCTCAGCATGTGTGTGTGTGTTTGTGTGTGTGTGTCTAGCTCCTGAGGAAGGTGGTGTACGACCAGCTGAACCAGATCCTGTTATCAGACTCCGCTCTTCCCGAAAGCCTGATACTGGTAAACGGCACCGACTGGCAAGGACAGGTAAGTGTGTGTGTGTGTGTGGTGTGTGTGTGTGTGTGTGTGTGTGTGTGTGTGTGTGTGTGTGTGTGTGTGTGTGTGTGTGTGTGTGTGTGTGCTGTGTGTAGTGTGTGTGTAGTGTGTGGTGTGATGTGGGTGTGTGTGTGTGTGTGATGTGTGTGTGTGTGTGTGTGTGTGGTGTGTGTGTGTGTGTGTGTGTGTGTGTGTGTGTGTGTGTGTGTGTGTGTGTGTGTGGTGTGGTGTGTGTGGTGTGTGTGTGTGTGTGTGTGTGTGTGTGTGTGTGTGTGTGTGGTGTGTGTGTGTGTGTGGTGTGTGTGTGTGTGTGTTGTGTGTGTGTGTGTGTGTGTGTGTGTGTGCTGTCCCCAAAGACATTTCTAGGTGTGTGTTTTCATCATTATTCCGTGTGTGTGTGTGCAGTATGTTGCAGAGCAGCTACAGGTACAGCGACACCCGGTGGTCTGCACGTGTTCCTCCGCCGAAATCCAGGCGGTGCTGTCGGCCGTGCTCACCCGCATCCAGAAATTGTGAGAAGCTAACACACACACACACACACACACACACACACACATATTTCTCCCCCTCACTATTTTGTCTCCATCTGTCCCTTCAGTTAACTTTGTTGGACTTTGCCAGAGCATATAAAGGAAAATAGGTGATACAGTAAAAGTAAACAGTGTTGAGATACCAACTGGTTATATACTGTAAGAACTTGGGCTGTGCGATTATGGCAAAAATCATAATCACGATTATTTGGGTCAATAATTGATATCACGATTATTAAATACGATTATTCATTGACTTTGAAAAAATCAATTTATTGAACTTTAAAACAAATACAAATAATAATTTGAACAGTATCTTTTTAACTGTTGATTTCCCTGAACGTATAATTCAACTGAAAAACCAATACAAAAATAAATTAAATAAATGATACATTTATATTCACATTTAAATAAATAATATCAAAATAATAAATACCAATAAACAAGATCAACAAATATTTTGGAGCGCACTTCCACAAGCTACTAAACATATATAAATATGATAAATACAAATAAATTAGACCAAAATGAATTAGATCAAATATGTTGCAGTGCACTGTCACAACCTAGCAAAGCAAAATAATTGTTTTTTCCGATTATGTTGTTTTCGTAATTGTGGCAGGCCAAAATCGTAATTGCGATTAAAATACGATTAATTGCACAGCCCTAGTAAGAACTAGGATTCTCAACAGTAAGCCTTTAAGAAGACTGTTATCTGTATTGTGTACATCCAATCTGAGACAAATACATTCACTTAAGAGGCTCCATGTTTTTTGGTTTTATACAGGAAGGTGTATTTTCATTAACGGATAACTTGGTCACCCTCTAACCTTTTCATCATTAACGAAAAATGCTCATAATTTGTGTTCCTTCTCCGATGTTAAGACGTGATCATTACCATAGTTTTACATCACTGCAAATTAAACCGTTCCACCCACTTCTCTCTCTCTTTCTCTCCCCCCATAGCTGTAACTGTAACTCGTCCATGCCCAGGGCGGTGAAGGTGGCGGCGGTGGGCAGCCAGAGTTACCTGGGAGCAATCCTGCAGTTCTTTGTCACTCAGCTCGCCAACAAGACCTCTGATTGGCTCAACCACATGCGCTTCCTGGTCGTGCCTCTGGGTAAGAGAGTCTGCGGCTGTTTCCATGGAGGATACATATTGGGATAAATGTGACTGTTATAAACGTCTAGTATCTTAAAAATATCTTGAACCATACCTGTGCTTTTATTACATTTGTATTTGTTTTCACTGATTGTGCTGTATTGTCCAACACTTACCATCCAATTACTTTGCTCCATCTTCTCCATCAGGCTCACACCCGGTTGCTAAGCACCTCGGCGCCCTTGACAACCGCTACAGCTCCTCCTTCCTGGACGGGGCGTGGAGAGACTTGTTCAGCCGCTCTGAGCCCCCACAGACAGGTACCCCCTCCCCCCTCCATGAGGCCCTGATTGAACACCTATGTGGGTGATATTGGGTCCTTACAAACACACACATGGTTCCCTCTCCTCCACAGATCAGCTGGATGTAGCGGCAAGAATCTCGCAGTACATCAGCGGAGCCACGGTCACACACCAGCTGCCCATCGCTGAGGCCATGCTCACCTGCAAACACAGGACGTGAGTGCAGAGTCACACAAAACACAAACACACAGCAGGAAACCTTTATGTTGATCTCACAAATCTGTGTCCTTTCTCTTTCCAGGCGAGATGAGGACTCCTACCAGAAGTTTATTCCCTTCATAGGGGTAAGGTGTACTCTATATATCGCTGTAGGTTGCCAAATCAGATCTGAATTGAACAATTGTTGCTGATTTTAGACATTTCTACTTCTTGTTTTCCAGGTGGTTAAAGTTGGTCTTATCGAGTCGGGTCCTTCTCCAACAGGTCAGTGAACGGTTACTTAAGATATGAAAGAAAAATACATAAATGGTGCGAGAAGAATTCCAGGTATGCATCTAAAATGGAATAGGATCAACAGAAAGTTAAATTAAATAATGTACAGTGGAATTAAATACTGACTTTATTTTATAATATCAATATTTGGACTGTAAACAGTGGAATTCAACAGACCTAATAAAATATAAAAGGCGCTAATAATGTACATTTTCTTCTGTGATCCTCCAGGAGATACAGACGAGGGCATGTCAGTGAGCTTGGCCGTCCCCTCCACGTCTCCCCCCTCCCACGGCTCCCCCACGGGGATTAAAGAGGCGGCCACACCCCCATCCTCCCCCTCCATGGGCAGCGTCCTGACAGTACAAGGGTAAGAGTGACCTGAAGGATTTCTCCTTTCTCCTCTTGTTCTTACCTCATTCAGAATGTATCCCTCATCACCCCTTTGATCAGGGGAGAAAAAACATCCATCTTAAAAATAACGAAATTGTAAAATTATTCCATTGCCCTTCAAATTAAAAACAAACTAGTGGATTAAAAGGTAAAATATGTTATTTTCTCAAATGTATAAATGATGTTTCTCTCAATAAAGAGAAAGATTTTAACACCTAGAAACAATATATCTGTTACATCTTGAATATTTAGTTTCTGGCAGCAGTATTCTCTTTGATACTTCAGTCCCGTTTTCCTCTGCTGGATACATTTGATATGTTTTCCTCTGCTGCTGCAGACTGTCTCTCCTGCTGTGTCTTATCTAATCTTCTATCCCACCCTCTGCAGAATGCATTCGGTGCAAGCATCACATCTCATACATGTATAGTCCATGTTCTTTAAAAATAGTTTTGAATTAAGATCCTGTTGGCACAAAATCATATTTATATCATATCATATTCACAATTTGTGCCATTGCTTATTATATGTATTTCTTAAGCAGTTTTTTATGGAATCTAACAAAAAACTTCACTTCAGCTTTAAGGATTCAACAAAGATATGTTAAGGGGAAAAGGATGACACATAATACAAAAGAGTTGGAGTGAGGGTCCAGAAAAGGAGTTGTGAGCCCTCCTGATCTTGTATTTCTCTCTAACTGCTTCTATAACTCTCTCCGTCCTCAGGAGTCCCAGCATGTCTCACGGCGTGGACGCCATCGGCCTGCAGGTGGACTACTGGCTGGCGTCTCTGGCGGAGAAGCGGCGGGAGGGCGAGCGGCGCGACACGGGCGGCAAGAACACGCTGAAGAGCGCCTTCCGCTCGCTGCAGGTCAGCAGGCTACCGGGGGAGGGCAGCAACGACACACAGGCCCAGGTCAGCACCATGGCCATGACCGTGGTCACCAAGGAGAAGAACAAGAAAGGTGGGACGACGAGCCAAAGAGTGGATATCATCAGAGGGGAGATGTTAGAGGGACTCTTCTTTCGTGTTCCAGGTCCAGTTGCATGATTATTTCCCTCTGCCTCTCCGCAGTTCCCACCATCTTCCTGGGGAAGAAGCCAAAGGAGAAGGACGTAGACTCAAAGAGCCAGGTCATCGAAGGCATCAGCCGACTCATCTGCTCCGCCAAGCAGCAACAGACCTTCCTCCAAGGTAACCTGAAGGATCCACATGGTGACCTCCAAGTCCTTTTGAATGTGTTTGTGTCGGTGATTTTGAGGATTATGGTGCCATGACATACAAAGCCAATAAGAAAACGGCAATGGAAGCAAGTGGGCAACCCGAATATGCAGATTATGTGGTCGAATTTATGCCCCATGTTAATGATGTTATTTTGAATATTGATGGAGCAGCTACAACTTTAGCGAACCCTGATCGATCCAAACTCCATTCATAAAACAAGCATTTTAAAAGTTCTTTGCTTGTCATCTTGCGGACGGACCTGACAACTCATGAATTTAGGCTTTACACAAATCTGCATCATAAGGAAGTCATTTTGGAATCCTTTTGATCCATTTATTCTGATTAAATTACTGCTAAATCTGTTTGTTTTGGGTTCATATTGATGTTTTTAACCGGATGAATTGCATTCCTTTTGGTGTGAACACCGCATAGTTGTTGTTTTTCTCTTTTCTCCTATTAGTCAAATGTCCTCCTCCTGTTATTCAGCTGAGTGTTTCTGTTTCCCTGCAGTGGCAATAGACGGCGTGGAGTGGAACGACGTGAAGTTCTTCCAGCTCGCCGCTCAGTGGCCCACTCACGTCAAATACTTTCCAGTCGGACTTTACGGCTACAGCAAGCCCCCCTCCTAGGGGTGAGCACCAGCCGACTCCTCTGACCCTGACTTGACCATCGACTCTCCTTGATCCCGTAACACGGACGTGCAAAGACCCCGCCTCAGACCAGAGAGAAGACGTCGAGTGGCCGGACAATTTTTCTTTCTTTAGTTTCATTTTGGCTACAGTCGTCTTATTCGTCAGGAGGAGGAAGAGGGTGGTGTTGGGGTGCTGCGTTGTTACTAGTCACTTTAATGCCCTTTTTGTTTGTGTGTGTGGCGAGTGTGCATGCACACGTGAATGTACAGTGTGTGTGTGTGCGTGTGCGTGTGTGTGTGTGTGTTTACAAGGGGCTTACAGCACAAGTTTATTAGCTAACTGCCATTTACGTTTCCGTTCTATGGAATGCAATAGCATGCAACAACTCACCGATTTCAAGCCCTTAAAGACCGAACCCTAAACTCTCGCTTTCCTCAAGACCCCATCCACACGTGCATGCTCCAAACTAACCGATACACCACTCACGTGCCGGAACAGAGTAACTCGAAATAAAAAACACAACAGGGCTTCAGTGTATGCATGAGTCGCTGAAAACACAAAGGAAAGGCTCCTGTATTCACACAATGCAGTCAAACTAAAGGCTTGCATGTGATTTCCTCCACCACACCTACATCCACAGATGCCGTTAAAAACAGGCCCATTATTATTATTTTTTATTTTAAGGGCTTCCATATAATTTAAAATATTTTTTCTGTACCAAAATAAGTGATTTGGATGTCAAATGCCAAACAGAAAATAATATATATAAATGGGAAGTGTCTTTTTTTAAATTGTGCTCTTGTGAACAATAGTTTTTGACGCTGTTTTGTGATGCATAGTGTACGTTTTTGTGAAGAGTTCCAGGATTTCAAAGCAGGGGATACTACAACGTGCAGTTTTCTTTATCTTCTCGTTTGCTATGCACTCACAAAGACTCATCTGGGTGTTGGCAGAGCACGGCTGGTCAAAATAGATCAACACAAGCGAGTATGCAACGAGGAAATGCATAAACAAGTCGAAAAAGATGTATAAACTCTGCTTTACCATGAGTATCTTCACCGCAAATATAGGATTTTAAACACCTGCAATAAAGCACAATGTCGTATGCCAGTTGTCCCCAAAACAATATTCCTTATTGGCAACAGGGTGGCAGCTTTTACTTCTGTGAAAACAGCAGACCTGGTCAAAGAAAATCTCATTTTTAAGCTTTTTCCATTATTCTAAAGACTCATCAATAATAGTTAATTTCATCAGGAAAATATAAATAAATATTTGGGTTGATGTGAGTACTTTTGGCATAGGTCTGCTACATGCTTTCTCTAAGATGTCGTGGGGTAATTAGTGAGAGTACAGTAACCGGTAACAGTGTGTGTGGTGAAATAAATGTAATGTTGTTGGAAACTTTGACAAAAAAAATCACTAAATAGGAATACTTTTTTTTTTTACCATGTGACTGTGTGTGTGTGTGTGTGTGTGTGTGTGTGTGTGTGTGTGTGTGTGTGTGTGTGTGTGTGTGTGTGTGTGTGTGTGTGTGTGTGTGTGTGTGTGTGTGTGTGTGTGTGTGTGTGTGTGTGTGTGTGTGTGTGTGTGTGTGTGTGTGTGTGTGTGTGTGTGTGTGTGTGTGTGTGTGTGGATGATGTGGTCATTATCAACATCATTGATTAGGGCTGCAGTGGTCATACTGTTTACTTTGTATCGTGGCACAAGGCAGATGCAGATTTTTACCACAACTAAGTACTTTGAAATCAAACAATCATAACGTTTTATTAAAGTAATTTGATTATATTTAAAATTTGGTGGAAATCCAAGAATGTATCTGCAGTTGTGGTTTAAAAGGATTGTTCTAAAAGCCGTTTTTTTGCCTTGTGTCACCTACATCGTAACTCTCTCCATGTCCAGTAAAGTATTAGAATTTTTATTTTAATAGTGTTAATGCCAATGTCTTGCTTTTTAAATGCGTTTTTTGTTAGTTTGATTTATTTTACGTGTCGATATTACAGTGTTACAGCACCTGTTACACAATGGTTTCAAACTAGAGGATTTGCTTGTTAGTTCACTGGTTATTTGACTAACAGCTCGTCCGTCACCGATGAACAAACACTCAGTTTGGTGTCGATTGATTACAAGTCCTTCCAAATATTTGAATGTATAGCATTTAGTTTAAAGGTGCAGTTTTCAGGCACAAGTAGATGTGTTGCTAGATAATTTGGTTATTTGGCCTAAAACTGACTTTACACATTGAAGGTCCCTCCAGTCCAGTAAGGGTTGGTAAAAAGACATGGTTTCATTATTCCTTAATATCAGTGAGTGTTAATGTAATGTACATTTGTTTTAATTCCACATAAATTACATTTTAAAATACCAACTCCTGCTCTTAAAAAGCTTAGAAGTAAATTGGCAGTTATTAACCCCTAAGACTTTTGATAAGAAAACAAGTACAATCATCACAGGACCTCTTAGAGCGAACACATACAAGCTTTCATAATTGGCCACTAATTACTTTATTAATGTTAAGTTATTATTACAATGTGAAAGGTGTGGATCTAAGGCCCCCAGAAGCGCCAACCAATCAGAGCAGAAAGGTTCTTAAAGAGACAGGCGCTAAAACAGAACGTTTCAGACCAGTGGTGAATACAGGTATATTCAAACAGAAAGTACGAGAGAAATAACAGTTTTTTTTAACATTGAAGCATATGAACATGTTTACAGTAGAAACCAACAATAGAGCATGAACCTAAACAATTAGCATAATATGTCACCTTTAATTAGCTTTTTTCATTTTAACAGCTTCACATTCAATAAAGGCATTAGTGGCGACTTAGAAAGCTCCTTTTGAGTAGGTTTTAATATGAAGGCAAACCCAAAAATTGATTTAAAAACAAGAAAACTTTCCAACATTTCTAGATGGAATAAAAAATGCTTGATCTTTTTAAACTTGAACTATAACAGTGAAGGGTAAATGATCTTCTGTTTACTATCTAAACGCTCTTTGCCTTGTAGTGTTGTTGGCGTTATTACAATGATGTGAATCTAAACTCTTCCTAAAAGGTAGACAAGCCTAGTTTATTGATGCCTCTTTCTCTTGCAGTCTTCACAGAGAGGTTAAAGGTCAGCTGGCGCTCAGTGATTGAACTGAATTTGGATTTTCTTTTTTACTGAAAGAAAGGAATTTTAAACAAAATCACTGCCAAAACTAAAATGTGACTTTACTCAGCTAGATGTGTGGGTTTCTTTGGATCTCTGATAATTCATTAACAACAAAGCGATCCTTGATCTGAAGTCAACATTTCAAAGTTTGGAGGAACTTTTTTCTCATCTTTCATCAACAACAGTTCCAGTTTACACGTTTTCCTACAGTCTCTTTAAAAAAAAAAACTCTGGTTGTTCTGTATGTAAGTCTTGAATTTGTTCCTGAGTGTTTTTACCTGTACCTCTGTACCTGTGTGTGTTTGTGACGGTGTATCGATGGTTCCTCTGTCCTTGACTAGTCGTGGTTAGAGATTCGGAGCTGTTTGGTCCGTCAATAATCTCCGTCAGTGATCAGCAGTGTCTTGTCCCTCCACCGTCCTCAGATATACCTCTGACGATGAGAGCGTTCTTCACCAGGCTTCCACAAGCTTAGCTTTCTAAAATCACCTGAAATGATATTGTCCATATTCCCTGACAGCTTGTACATTCTGCCGTATGTCCTCATGGGAACAACATTTGCCTAAGCAGTAGATTTCTGGCTGATTTCTGCTCAGCGCGTCCTAAGCTTGTGGAGAGTATTTTGCACATGCCATTGTTTCTTCAGCAGCAGTCTTCAGCTTCTTTGCCTTTTGCCTATAACAATAATTATAATAATAAACTATAATGCTTGTACATATCAGATAGTACTTGTAATATTGTATTCTAGTTCTGTTTTTTTGTTTGTTTTTCTTAATTTGACATGTTTTGTAGAACTGCTTTTTCATGATTATGTGGGATGAAAAGTGGAAGTGTTCATTGTTTTGTTTTTTTAAATAAAGATATTCCTGATTTGTAGCCCAGCCTCATGTTTTTGTGTATGCGTTTGTAGCTTTTATAGCTTCTTTATACTTACTTAATTAAACAGTTAGATTTCAATATATAACATTTATTTAGCTGTTAATGCTTTCCATTTGAGTTATGGAAACAATGGGCTTGCAATAAGAAAAATAAGCAAACATAATAAGTAAATACTTACAAGCTAGTTAAACTGGAATAAAACTTAACAGAAAATAGTTGTTATCAAGCAGGAGAAAAAATACATTCATGTTTAATGCAAATATAACAAATATTGAGATATATTGATAGTCATTGTAAATGTTAATGGTAAACAATTAAAACGGGTCAAGTAGTATTTTAGAAGGTGATATAAAGAGTGACATTGTAAATAAATCGTGCACATGATAGTTGTGAAGCAGGTCAGTAGTACACAGAGGGCCTCTCACTACCCTGATGCCCTGGTTCGTCTTTGAATGGGAGCACAAAGAGTATGAGCACAGCAAGAGGCTTCACTTCTAACTAAATCCTGTTACGTGAAAACACGTGTTTAATTATTTATTATTTACTTTTTGAATCCGAATTAGTTAGGGACAATATACTCGATAAATTCAAAATGATTTGTAATGCTTTATTAATTATATATAAAATAAATCAGTTGTATGAGAAGAACTAATTTGATTGGAGGCTAGCTAGATCGCCAGTTTGGCTGTACGCATGCGCAGGATTGTTTCCCGCCCAGTTTGGAAAATGGCCAACGCAACAATTCATCTTGACATTTTACTTCATCTTTGATTGTTAAATTGTGGAAGAACCGCCGTTTTTTCTCTCCTAGCTGTCCCATTTGAGACATATCCAAAAATGACGTCCTTCTTTGTTAATGAATATACGTTTTTGAGGGGATGACCAGTCAGTACCGGCATGTTCAATAATAGCTTTCCTGCCGGCCTGAATTTTGAAGTAACGGTCCGGGTAAGTTGAAGTGAAACAGACGTTAATTAACTGCTTGAAGCTTGGCTAACTAACACGCTGTAGCTAATCGTATTTAGCTAAACTAAGTGATAAAGGAGCTATTTTAGTGTGCCATGTGCAAAACCAACAGCGTGAGTAGCGTGCGTGAAATGAACGAGACAGGTAAGCTAACGGAAGTTCACAGACCCTAGCTTCGTCCAAAGTAAAGTTAGAATTAACGGTAATTCTAACGGTTAGCTTTTCGAACCAACTGGCGTTAACATTCATTTCTTAGCTAAATCATCACTGCCTTTTATTAAAACTTCGTTGTGTTTGATAGGCCTACATTGCAGACGACTTCAACCTACAATACGGTTTTAATTTGAAAAACACAACCGGAAGCAGTTTGTTTTACGTCGGTAGACTTGACACTAGTTTGTCCGGAGCATCACAACATTGTCCTGACGCTTTGTTCGAAGGACAGAAAGCATCGCACTTGTCTTCGATGAAGGTAAATATACGGATTAATAATATTGAAATTACATGAATTCGATAGTTACGTAGCTGAAATAGATATAATTTTAACAAGCTGTCAAATAAGCGCTTCATCCTCGGCGAGGTCCGTAAATGTGTCATCCGAGTCACTCCTCGCCTGTGTTTTTACCTATAAAACAGCACTTTTTAAAATGAATCTTGTCATATTCTTATCTTTGCTTATTGTATATACTATACAGTCGCCTAATATAATGTGCATCAGTGTGTTTTTGTGTAAGATCTTGATGCTCGGGCCTGCACTGTTTACAAACATGTCGGACATTTTCACGCGTTTTCAGTAATTATTTTTCGGAATCATCTTTAAAAGCTTTGCCTTTTCTTTGATCAGTCCTCTCCATTGTCGGTCACCTTGATTGGTATGATGCCAAGCCAAACACTGCCGCCCATCCCGGGCACAGGCCTCGACCATCCACCGGCTCATCTATCCATTTGTGGCTTAAAATAGACACGTAAAAAAAAGCCTGGATAAGCGAAATTATTATATCCGGATGCTTTAATTTTGTATTTTCTTTACTTTCACCTCTATGCATTTTGCAAACGGAGCATTTGAAGGGATGTGTGAATATTGGTGCATTGCAGTCAGTGTATGAGGCGGAAGGGAAGAGGAGGGGGGGGGGAGGATGGGTGAGAGAGATAGACACATAATAAGGGAGAGAGAGGGAGAGGAGAACAGGTGCACCTCCTCCATCAAAGCAGGAACAGAGAGAAAGTCACGATGTTGCACAATTGCCTCCTCTGTCCTGCTCCAACGGTCTCCTTTACAGCTGCTCATTATTCAGACCTGCAGGAAAGGAAGTGACTATTTACTGGGCCAGGCTCTGTCTACAACCTGATGTGGAACTTTCCAGATATTGTTAATCCATGCCGTTTGAATGTTGTCCTTTTCCGCTACATCAGGGGTCAATTGAGAATTTCTCTGTGTTTTAATCACACGACCATATCAACCACTGCTTAGAATAAACATCCTCTGATCTTCATCAACAGTCCCAAACCAGTATTTCATCCCCTTGTAGTGCTTCAAAAGTTATATAACATGTGGGAATAACATTTTCTTAGACTACATGATTTATAAAACAGGGTTTAAACAATGAAATGTATTGTTAAAATCAGCTGATCAGCCTCCTGTAATGTTTGATGTTGACATCATCACCTCACTCTGAGTGAATCTCTCCTGGGTAGAGCAGCTCTGTCATGTGACAGCGTCTCACTTTAATTGGCTTTACTGGTCAATGGCAGCTGCTGCGTCACTGTCCAGCTCGGAGGAATCCTCTTTTAGTAATCTGGGTTATTCATACTCTCACACACACCTTTCCGTCTCGCCTTGCTACCCAAGGGTTACGTAAGGTTATTATGAAACTGTAAACTATTGTTTAGCCCTTGACTTCTTTAAAACTGTAGAGAAAGGGAGCACTGCGAGAAAGAGAAACTTACTTTCTTTTTTATCTTGTCGTTTTTTTGTTGGTCCTCCCCTACATGACCTTGTGTGAATTGTGAGAATTTCAAGCAGTACAGGACGTGAAAAACAAAACGCACACACAGCAAAAACAAGTCTCCTTTCCCCAATAACGTCCTTCTTGTAACATTTGTCTTCTATTTCTTTTTCCTTTCTCCACAGTGTGTATGAAACCAGGCTATGTCCACAATGGTGTATCCTCGTGAAGAAGCCCTGGAGCGCCTGAGCCAGGATGAGATCGTCCTCAACACCAAGGCCGTCATGCAGGGCCTGGAGACGCTGCGCGGCGAACACGCCCAGATCCTCAACTCGCTGCTGGACTGCGCCCAGCCCCCCGCCGCGCAGGAGAAATCCGGCCTGCTGCGCAAGAGTCTGGAGGCCATCGAGCTGGGCCTGGGAGAGGCACAGGTAACACGACACTGAGCCAGGTTCAGGTTATTTATCTGTACGCGTAGGTAGGTTTGGTTTGCAGCTAAAAGACAAGGGATCCTTTATGACACACATTCTAAAACAACAAAGACAAATCCCTAAAAAAAAAAATACCCGCTGCTCCGTCACATCTAAAAACATTTAAAATCATCTAGTACAAACATGAGCAATCCACAAAGTTAATAAATAAATAGGCATTGCTTCCATAGGCATCTGTGTGACGCTGCTACAACTTGTTAATTTGTGCGATTGCTGCTTGATTTCCGTGAGCAAAGGGTGGGAGTAATTGTCCAAAATAGAGCTGGATAACCGCTGTAACTGTCTGAGGGTCTCCAGGTTTCGCTGTGGTGTGCAGCTTTATAACCTGAGTGAGAGAGTTTCTGCTGTTTAAAAACAGGTTGCCAAACCATGACACTAAAGAAAAGGACAGAATCGACCCAATAAGAGCACGATAAAAACATGACCATCATGGTTTTGTCAAAATAGGATTTTCAGTTAAAAAGTGTCCCGAGAGATATTTGTATGATTGCACAAATTCCACTTTCTGATTCTTGATGGATAAGTCTTCATGTATCAGGGGAGTCCTTACAGTAATTACGTAAAAATAATCCACAGTGGGTAAAAGTCCAATTTTTCTCAAAGGTGATCGTCGCCCTGTCGAGCCACCTGAGCGCCGTGGAGTCGGAGAAGCAGAAGCTGCGGGCTCAGGTGCGCCGGCTCTGCCAGGAGAACCAGTGGCTGCGGGACGAGCTGGCCGGGACGCAGCACAAACTGCAGCGCAGCGAGCAGAGCGTGGCGCAGCTGGAGGAGGAGAAGAAGCACCTGGTGTTCATGAACCAGATCAAGAAGTTTGACGATGACGTGTCTCCGTCGGAGGAGAAGAACCAGAGCGGGGGAGGAAGTGGAGGAGACACTTCGAAGGACAGTCTGGACGACTTGTTCCCCAACGATGACGACCAGGGGCCAGGTATGTGCTTTAGGAGATGCTAACAAGGTTTATAGGCTGTGAGTAATGCTTATTCTCCTTATATATTAATCTACACATTATTTTTCCTCAAACTCAAGATTACATAATGCTTTGAAAGTCTGACCATGCGTTTAAAACCCACAAATATTCCATTTACTGTCAGACAATACACAAGAAAGGAGCAGATCCTCCTTTTTCAGAAGCTGGAACCAGCAAATATTCAGCTTTTTTTTGCCTGAAAAGTCGCTTAATCAATTAAATCGATTATTTTAATCCTTGTAAATTAAATATTCTTTCATGGAATTAATCATTTAGCTGACTCGTTGTTTCAACTCAAGGTAATAGTGCAATAATATTTGAAAGGGAAGCCTGGAGGAGCTATTTAGCCTTAAAGTAAGAGCCCTTACGAAGGAGTAAAGTGACTCAGCAGAGGCAGAAACGACCTCTGACATACAAAAGATTTCCATCCCAGTTTGCATGAACAGGAGCCTGATACTGGAGGAGGGTGTGTTTCAGTGGTAGACCACAGGAAGCAGAGATAATTGGTTTTGCTTCGGGCAGTCGGTCCTTTTGTATAGCTAACCTTTCTTCCATTATGAATGACCAGTCTTAAGTCAAGTCAGATATAGGGATAGTCTCTCTGTGTAGAAATCACATTTATATATTTACCAAAGCTACACTTGGAATTTACCCCATTATAATTCATAGGTTTATTTAAGTTAAAGTTGTAAGATCCTTCCTTTTGGTATTTTATAGAGAGTGTAAATATTGATCTGCTTTCACATAGTTTTTCTATTCATAGAGTTACAAAATAAGAGCCTGATACAGTCCTTCCTTTCATTCACAGTCATGTCAGGCCTTGAGTCATTTCAACTCAGGCACGAGTTGTTCTCAAGTTTTCAAACACAGCTCCTTGTGTCAGTGGAAAACATACAGTTTAACGGTCAAACTGGGAGATAGTTTGGATAAGATAAATAAATGATTTGAAGCAGGACATGTGGTCATGTTGATGCTTCACTCAGACGGTCACTAATGCGGTGCGGTTCAATGTAAAGGTTGGTTAGCTCTCCGCTCCATTAGCCTGGGAGTAGGGCTTCCCATAATTGCCGTTTGGTCTGTTTATTTATGAAGAACTGAATAATACTTCTCAGAAGTCTTGTCTCATCTTTATTCCACCTTTTTATAGTTAAATTAAATGTTGCTCTAGTTTGGGAACTAGACATCAGGGTCACAAGAGAAATGTCAGGTTCAGGAGTTGAAAGGAGAGGAGGTGCTTTGAGAGCCAAACAGTCGAAGAATTAAACATTTGGAGAAGAAAACAGTTTATTTGACGGATAGGGAGACATTTAAATATCCTCTCTCTTGTCCTCACAGCCCAGCCCAGCGGAGAGGTGGCGGCTCAGCAGGGGGGCTACGAGATCCCGGCCCGCCTCAGGACGCTGCACAACCTGGTGATCCAGTACGCCTCGCAGGGCCGCTACGAGGTGGCCGTGCCGCTCTGCAAACAGGCTCTGGAGGATCTGGAGAAAACATCCGGACACGACCACCCCGACGTCGCCACCATGCTCAACATCCTGGCTCTGGTGTACAGGTGAGGAACGGAGTGGATGTGTACCAGAGGTGTGGACTCGAGTCACATGACTTGGACTCGATTCAGACTCGAGTCACCAATTTGATGACTTTGGACTCGACTTGACAAAATCACAAAACACTTGCGACTCGACTTGGACTTGAACACTAATGACTCGGGACTTGACTTGGACTTGAGCCTTCTGACTTGAGGTGACTTGATAATTTAATTCAGAGGTCTCCAACACGCCGATCACGAGCTGCCGTTCAGAAGAGCAGACTCGCGTCGGGGAGAGCAGAATCTTCAGCCGCTCCAACTCTTGCTGTGAATCCAAGCAGGCAGGGGCGGGACTTTCAAATTGACCCGCTATTAGAATGCATTGATTTTCAAGGTAAAATATTCTTTTATTGAACAGTGAGTTTTGATCGCACAGGGATGAAACGTATACCAATATAATCTGTGGACTCTCAGGGCTCGACATTATAAATGGCCCGCTGGCCCGGAAGCATTATTTAGACACCGCGGCCAGCATAACGTACTTTCAACTCGCCCCACAGCTGTTTGCTGCGGAGCTCAGCGTGAGCAGTCTCCCGTGAGCGGGATCGCACTCCTTCACTACAGACTGTCTCTATCTCTCTCTCTCTCTCGCTCTCGCTCTCGCTCTCTCTCTCTCTCTCTCTCTCTCTCTCTCTCTCTCTCTCGCTCTCTCGCTCTCGCTCTCGCTCTCGCTCTCGCTCTCGCTCTCGCTCTCGCTCTCGCTCTCGCTCTCTCTCTCTATCTATAACTATCTATCAATATATCTATCCATCTATATCTCTCTCTCTCTCTCTCTCTATCTATCTATAACTATCTATCAATATATCTATCCATCTATATCTCTCTCTCTTAATCTATCTCTCAATCTATAAGGAACCGCAGTAGACAAAAGGCGTTGCTATAGCAACACGTCATGTTTATATGAAAAGGGGTGGGGTCAATATGACCCGCTGGACGGAAATAGGTATAAATGGCAATTTTTTGGGCGATTTCTTCAATCTGACTTCATATTGACATTTTTTAACAACATAGGGTGCTACATAACACACTTTCAGGAAAAGTCACGGACTGGAAGACTTTAATATTTTATTGAAAAAAAGTTACACACAAAAAAAAAAACAGCTCTGGGTCAAATTGACCCGGTTGGTCGGAAAAAGTCAAGAAATGAGCGAAAACCGAAAAAAGAAGCAGCATCTGGCTGCATTTCAATGATATTGGAGAAAGCAAAGCTGAGTGCAGGATTTGTCAAATGAAAATAACCTTCAGAGCAGGGTTTTGTTTTGGTAACCACTCAGGATTTATTGTCAGAGGTGGGAGAAGTTCAGATCTTGTACTTGAGTAAAAGTACCAGAGTGTAGGAATACTCGGTTACAATAAAAAGTCCTGCATTCAAAATGTTACAAGTAAAAGTAGAAAAGTATTATCATCAAAATATAGTTAAAGTACCACCTGCAGAGGGATCTAGATTCAGGTGTTCTTTTCCCCATAGAGATGCCTCGCTGCACATTATCCCTTGCATAAAGATAGATTGTGGGTCCCTTATAACATGTTGTACACAGTGGAAATAAACATTCTGGTCACCTCAACATCAGGGATCTTATCCATTAAACTCCTTCTGAATCAAACCGTCACGGTAGCCTAACCTTACTGATCCCTCTTACAATAGAAGAAAAACACGTTACTTTACCAGCAGAGAGAAAATGGATTATTAAATGATTAATGTGACTAATAAAGAGCAGTTAGATTATTAAGTATTATTCTGTTGATCGATGTCATTACATTTGTTGAAAAGCACATAAGGACTTGTTTAAGACTCGTTTTGTCAAAGTTTAGGACTTGGACTTGACTTGAACTTGCCCATCCTGACTTGAGACTTGACTCGGACTTGCAAAACAATGACTTGGTCCCACCTCTGGTATATACTGTATATTCCACATTTACAAACGTTTCCCCATTTGGGATGAAGACAGTATATCTTGTCTTATTTGAGAGCTTTTCAGATTTCTAACAAAAAATGCTGTTTGTCCTCCAGGGATCAGAACAAGTACAAAGAGGCGGCTCACCTGCTGAACGACGCGCTGGCCATCAGAGAGAAGACGCTGGGGAAGGATCACCCCGCTGTGGCCGCCACCCTCAACAACCTGGCCGTCCTGTACGGAAAGAGAGGGAAATACAAGGAGGCCGAACCTCTGTGCAAGAGAGCGCTGGAGATCAGAGAGAAGGTAAAGACCCACAGCGCCGACTCGTAATGTAAAAAAAGTATGTTTTCTATACAAAGTCCACCATTTAAATAAACGATACATACTCACAAAAGCGATATCTGAGTACTTCTTCAACTAAAAGCGTTAATGTAAACCTCCATGTGTGTCAATGTGTCTCCAGGTGTTGGGGAAGTACCACCCAGATGTAGCCAAGCAGCTGAACAACCTGGCGCTGCTGTGTCAGAACCAGGGGAAGTACGACGAGGTGGAGTACTACTACAGACGGGCCCTCGAGATCTATGAGTCCAAACTGGGAGCCGATGACCCCAACGTGGCCAAGACCAAAAATAACCTGGTGAGGACATCATTCAAGAGAGATTTTAACTATACATTTGATATACAGTAATGAAAGTTTAGTTTGTTTTCTGCTCTGTAATCTCATCGTATTCTGTGATTCTGTGTTTTATTGTTGTTTCAAAGAGGATTTTGTGAATTGAAAGATTGTTCTCCTCAGGCGACGTGCTACCTGAAGCAGGGGAAGTTCAAAGACGCTGAGGCTCTGTACAAAGAGATCCTGACCAGAGCACACGAGAAGGAGTTTGGATCCGTCAACAGTGAGTAGACCGCTGAGCCTCTCTAGAGTGAACACAATGACACAACCCTTGAGCTTTACTGAAAGGAAAGTTAGTTATACATAAAATGAGATGTTTCTAATATTTGCCACTTTGACTGAGCTAGACCTTTAACCATCTTCAATCTTTAGTTCATCTCCACCAAATCATTCATCTTTAGAATTATAACCATTTTAAATGCCAAGTTGATACAAACAAAAACTTGATCAAAAGATAAACAAACTCAGTGTTTCAATGTTTTTTGGGGACATTTGTGACCTTAACCCTCTGAGACCCACATAGGACATTTCCGTTTTTGTAAATGTTTGTGTTTTGCCTTATACATTTTCATTTCTTTACAGTATAATACAAATAAATCAGCACAACCTCAGCTAATGATATATGTCACTCATTAGTAGGGATGGGTATCGTTTGAAATGTATCGATTAGGGATGCCAGCGATTATTCGATTTTTCGAATATTCGTTACAGTCTCCATAATCGAAAATTATTTTTAAAATTCGATTTTATTTATATATGTTGTTTTACTGTAAACTTGGAGGAAGCCAGCAGCGCAGGCTGCACGGAGTGCAGACTGCTGCTGCCTGCTGCAGCCTGCTACACACCGACCCCGCCTCCCCCCCCCCCCCCCTCCGTCACACGTGCGATTGATTTATTGGCGATATACAGAACAGTGAGAACAACACAACTAAAGATGAACAAAGCGGCATGTTCAAAGAAGAGTTCCTCGTGGAACTACTTCGAACTGACAAGTGCAAATGAAATAAAATGCAAGCTCTGCGAAAAGACTTTGGTCTACCACAGCTCAACATCAACAATGCCTTCGCATTTGAGTGCGAAGCATGCCAAATAAGTGCCTCCAGAGAAAGACGCAGCACAGCCGGCCATTACTAACTTCACTTCAAGGCCACGTCGTTGTGATGACAGGCATGGAGGTGACATAACTGCACTAATCACCAATATGATAGTGTTTTCTTTTTTTCTCCCGCGGGGGGGGGGGGGGGGGGCGAATAATCGATTAATCGATTAATATTCGCCAGGGCTGTCCGATTTTCGAATTTGATCATGGTCAGTTTCTGGCATCCCTAGTATCGATTCCGGTTCTTATCGATTCCCCGTTTCGATTTCAAAATTATAAAAGAAAGAGGTCAAACGTTTAGATAACAAAAATATCTTTATTCTTTTAAGCTTTAACTGACATTTTTACAAATAAAAAATATACATGCAATACAAATGTATTACACAAAAGCTGTGCTTTATTTTAACTGAGCTATGCCTGTGGCAAGCTATTAACAGGCATTACACTGTGCCTTGTCTTTTTCTTTTTTAGTGTAGTGGAGCCTCACTTTAGAGCGTTTACCGCGATCCATCTTTGGTGTTATGAAGTGACTGAGCTCGTGAACTGTCTACGGGAGGGCGGGGGGAGCCTCGCTGCGGGGCAACTGGGGGTGTTTCTCAATCGCGAGTACGCTTGCTTGGTAGCACATGTCTGCCGAGCGTCTTGCTTCAGAAGCGAGGCAAGAATACTTCCTGCCATTCGGAAAACGAAGAGTGGAACAGGCTAGCAAGTGTGCAGGTCTGCGTCATATGAGAGGCCCCGCCTTACATCTTCCGCCACAGATTTTGGGAAATTGGTCCGTGCGCAAAGCATTGTGGGGATTTTAAGACCGCGGAGTCTACACATGTGCAGCCTCGAAATTTCTCGCTACGAAGTACGCCGGCCTCGGTAGATTTCCAAGTATGCTGGAGATTGGAACAGTACTTCGGCGGCACTCGATGACGTAGTATGCTTGAAATAGTGGCTCTGAAGCAGCTTTACTCGCGATTGAGAAACACCCTGTGGACCTCTGTCGCCTGTCAGCGCAACTTACATGATGCCGTTTAAAAATATGATGGGCGGTGCCGGCCGCCAGCGAACCGAGCTGGCCGCCAACGGCCCGCTGACGACCGGCCGTACTGTGATTCTCCAGAACACACAGATGGCCAGTCCGCCCTTACCCTGTATTCCACCAGGTCGCCGCGGCGCAGACGGACCCGGTGGAATACAGGGTCTACCGCGTTTAGGAACCGTTAAGCAGAACCGAAATTGTGTATTTTGTATGGGTAACCGGTACCCGGCATTTTCTTATCGGTTCTCATCTGGAACCGAGTTTCGGTTCCCAACCCTACTCATTAGAGACTTATATACAATATAATATGGGATATTAGCCCATACATTTTTTTATTTTTTTTAAACGGAGCTTGAATTTTGTACTTAAAATAACTGCTAACCATAACATATACAACGTTAGCTTAGCCGATCTCCATTCAGAAAACATGCATTTTAAAAGGTTTTTCGCCTGCCGTCTGTCTGCAGACTTGTCAAAGCATTAATTCATGGTTTTTACTAACCGGTATCAGTATGTTGTTACTTCGGCATCATTTTGAAACGTGTATTACAATTAAATCACTGTAAAATATGTTCATTTTGTTGTAGTTGCCAGAGATTCTCTCACTAGTTTAGCATACTCAGCCCGGTTGTTGGCCCGGAAAGAACCTCGATTTTGGAGAGCCAGAAAACTGTGAAAAAGTACCCGCTAGCCGGAACTACGCCTAGTGGAAACGCAACCAAAAATGGGCCGGGCACGGCACGCTTAAACCGCGCTCCGCGCTGTAGTGGAAAACAAACAAAGTCACAAACAAAGACGGTGGATGAGAATAGATCTATAAAACAGACAGAAAATGATAAGCAATGCGCCAGAATCAAGGTGAGACTATCCGCCTCTTTTAAAACGTTACGCACATTCGTTTCACCGAAATAAGTAAACGCCTCTCAATGAAAAACTCAATAGAGTTGTTTATTGCCGTTTCTGTAGTTTAAGAGGAAGCACACGGCATGTCTCTGGCTCAAACAGCTGACAAGTTATGACTCTTTGAACACAACGTGATATTTGGGATCGTATACGGCCCCGTGGGTCTCAGAGGGTTAAGGGGCTTTTTGGCGTGAAGAATGATTGATTTCACAACGGAATATATCCATGACTATCCCCATTTCTATTCCTCTGACAAATTGCTATGTTTTGTGATTCTTGTTGTGATCTGTGCACAGCCATGGTTCTCCCGTGGCCCTCAGTCCTCTCAGCTGATTTGAGGATTATTTGGGGCCATGGCAGCGTGTGGAGAGGCTTAATGTCCATGTGTCCCTCTGCTGCTCTAAGCCTATCAAACCCTTATGAGGGCCAGACAGGAATGTGGCAATGCATGGGTTTTAATTAAAGACTGTTATTTCCTTAATATATGGATAGAGAAGCTTCACTTTAAAATTGAGGTCATTCAAAGGGTCCTTGATATCTTTTCAGCAATGTGTTATATTCCTTATTTGTTTTGTTTCTGCTATTACCTCGTAAAGTTAATCCTGTCCGTCAAAGAACATTTCTGATATTCTTTGGTCCTCATTTTGCAGATGACAACAAACCAATCTGGATGCACGCAGAGGAGAGAGAGGAGAGCAAGGTCAGTGATAAACGTTAATGTTTTCCGTTAATCCCCGGGTCTGGCAGGCAGGTTAATATAGAAAGGGACTGATCAGCATAATGAGATGGAGAGCAGCAGACTATAAACATTACAACAGGGACATGTTTTACAAGCTTTGATGGTGTAATGTTTCAAACATGACTTCTCTGCCTTTTTGTATCTTTATCTTCCTCTTGTTTTTCTCTCTATCCCCGTCTCTCTCAGGGTAAACGTAAGGACTCTGGCCCGTATGTAGAGTATGGCAGCTGGTACAAGGCCTGCAAGGTGGACAGGTGAGTCACACGTTTAAATTCAGTGGAAACATTCAAACAATCATGAAGAAAATATCAATTATTTTTGATAAAACTTTGAAATACAGTTGAATTGTAATGGTCTTTGGAGTACTTGTGGTTGTCAGACTTAACTGAATCTGTCTTGATATGACCAGGCTGTAAATGTGTTCAAATATCTTTGTCGTTTATCAAGAGCGGCCATTACAAAGAAAAGAATACCCTGTATCAATAACAAGATTAAGGACGCCAATATAGTACAAATCTACTCCTTGTACCAGGAGAACAAAAGTCATACTCAAACCCATTTGAGTTTAACAGTTCATTAAAAAATGTAATCTATAATGATTTGTTTGAAAATGTAATTAGCTTTATTGACAAAGATGCTAAATTGAAGATAAAACATTTGGTAGCAATGATTAAAAAAGGTGAATAAATAAATAACATTGTGTTTTTTGTGTGTGTGTTTTTCTTTCTCAGCCCCACAGTGAACACAACCCTGAAAAGCTTGGGGGCTCTGTACCGTCGTCAGGGCAAACTGGAGGCGGCCGAAACTCTGGAGGAGTGTGCCAGCAAGACCCGTAAACAGGTACACACACACACACACACACACACACACACACACACACACACACACACACACACACACACACACACACACAGACAGACAGACAGACTGCTGAGTTACTGCTGTTAGATTAGTCGTCTGGGCTCTTTCAGTTGAGAAGCCTGATTAGTTGAACAGGCGTCCAGCGGAGATTTATACGCCCATAAAGTATGATTTACAGATCAATCATGGAGCTAATGTGTGTACATTGTAATAAAGACCTGCTGTGCGGGCCATTGTGTGAAGAAGCTGTACTTTTCTCTCTGATCTTTGTGTTTTTGTGTCTCTGTCTTTCAGGGAATTGATGCCATTAACCAGAGTAAGGTGGTGGAGCTGCTGAAGGACGGGGGGGGCGGAGGGGGGGACAGACGACACAGCAGGGAGGGAATCAACGGGCCGGGGGGGCAGCGGGGGGAGAGCGAGGGCGACAACTCCGCGGAGTGGAACGGGGTCAGTGTATGGACACTAATTGATAACTGTAACACTAATCCATGTTTTAATAAGATCATGGTGTAAAGGACAAGATCAACACAGCACACGAGTCATATTAAATGTGCTGTGATCATGAGAAGGGAGCCAGAGGAAGTGTGCTTAATATTCGATGGGTCCAGTAAATGCTGACTTGGTGTTCTGCTTCATGTTCCCTTCAGGATGGGAACGGGTCTCTGCGGCGCAGCGGCTCCTTCGGGAAGATCCGTGACGCCCTGAGGAGGAGCAGCGAGATGCTGGTGAAGAAGCTGCAGGGGAGCGGGCCTCAGGAGCCACGAAACCCAGGGTAACTTCACACTCACTGCGAACACGTGGAGATAGTCAGCTGTTAGGAGTTAGGCTGTAACCAATGATTTAAATTGTGGTAATGATGATTTCGTTCATTAAAATGTACTCGTAACATTCCCAAAAGTAATGCAGAGCCCAGGACGAATAGCTACTTCAATGTTGTAGCTAATGGGGATCCAAACATAAGCCGTCTTTTCAAATAGTTTTTTGTCCGACAATTTCCAATGAGATTTAAAGGTCATGTTATTATTGGTTATTTTAAGGTCAACATATTTGGCCCTCCTCTATGAGCTAAAGAAGGGAGTGGATGTGGCTGAACGCTTTAAAAAAATCAAAAAATGTTACTTTCACTTATCTTTAAAAATCATAATGTGACGTATTTCTGAATTTAAGAAAGAAATATTGGAGCGTGTTACAATGACAATGACATATGATAAGATCTCTCAACTGTACAGAACTACTGTAAGTAAGGAGACTTACGAAGGAGTAAATAAACTACTGGTTGTTTTTCTCAGACATTATTCTGACATGATGTTTAAATGCTTTAGGCTAATTGTTTGATGTCTTGCTTTCCTCAGAATGAAAAGAGCAAGCTCCCTCAACTTCCTCAACAAGAGCACTGAGGAGACCACACAGGTACGAAGTTCAATTATCACCAAAATGTAAAAATATAATATAGTAATTACCTGACAATGTCCAACAGAAGTTATAGCATTTACTGTTCTGTTTTTAGGACGTCACCCCCGGCCTCTCGGACTGCAGGGGACTCAGCTCCAGCAACGTGGACCTATCCAGACGCAGCTCCCTGATTGGCTAGCCCGAGAGAGGAGGCGGGACTGAGGAGAGGCTGTTTTCAGCTTGGTTTGATCCACACTCTCCACACGCGAGATCAAACACTTGCACCTGCAGCATATTTTTTAAAGAACACTGAGAGAGAATAAAAAAACACCACCTCACGTAGCGTCATCCTGTTTAGACACGGTCGCTGCTTCGCTGTATAAAACGCTGCCATCAATCACTAAAGAGAATATTTAGATACACATTAATCAGCATGCTGCTTACTAGAACGTGGAATGTCTGCACCTGAGCGCATCGTGTTTTAGCACCGTGGCGTATATCCACATCGTGATGAGTCCCGTGTTTAGTGTGCAGACACTCGTAGGCTAAATGTACTCCGGTTCCAGTTCAGAGAGGAGCGTTTGCACTCTGTATATCCCACCAGTAGCATGGAGTATCTCCCGATTGCTAACCGCCCATTCCATGCATATCACAGACGGTCCAAATGGTACCATCCGCTTTGATTTAAACGAGGATAGCAGATGTATTTAAGAAGAATACGAGCGATCTTTGGGGATTTTCAATTAGCACTAACCATTTAAACCTCACTGTTTGCCTTTCTTGTTGTTTTATGTATATACAGTTTTAAATTATTTGATGTTTCTTTCCTTGTAAATAGTGCACTTTTTTTTTGTTTACACTTTATTGGGTCTAAGAAAATACTTATCTAAAGGGGGAGGACTGGAAAACACAGAAATATGAAAAGTTCCTAAATGCTGATACATTTAGTCCCTCAATCACTGAATTCTGCTGACTCATGGTTCAGTTTAGTCGTAATGCACTTTGAGCCCCTACTGCGCCCTCTGCTGGTCATGTTTATATCAGTCATTCTTTAAACTTTGATATAAAAGTGTCAGAAAGTTCATTTGAAATTATATTTACTATGTCTCCTCAATACTACCTACTGGAAAATAAGTTGAATAAAACACTAAAATCATTACTTTCAGGTACCTTTTCCTCACTAAACACTTCCAGGCTTACTGCCATAAGTCTGAAAGCTACTGAAGGGAAATATTTCTAAAGCATAATCAATGTAGGACTAAGGGTAACTATCTTATCAAAGCTGGTGCAGTGCATCAACAACGTGTTCATGTATTCCTCTTGTGAAAGGTTTCCCCCGTGTTTATGTTGCTGAATATGTATCATTTTGTACGGAACAATCCTCAGTGTGACGTTTTGCCCTTCCTGATGATTTGTGTTTTCCTGTTTTTGATCTGAGCTTTTTATGTTAAAGGTACTGATAATCATTTGAATGTTCAATTACATATCGATTGTGGTATCCGGTGGCTTTCACACTGGATGTTTGTATTGTGCTGTTTCCACCAAAAATAAGACCAATACCAAGAGAACTGTCCACAGAATGTACACGTGTTATCATGTGAAGTCGAGTTCAGCCTCGGCAAGTTGCGGCGTCACTTCAACTGGGATCAGATTGTCAAGAACAACAACTTTTTTTGCTTAATTTGTACGTTTTTCTTAGTTTACTCGTAAAAATGGAAACTCCTGACAATCTGAGTTACATTTCTAAGACGGGAGGATACAGGATTGTTGCATTTTGTCCACGACGGTGCATGCACACCATCGCCAAATTCACAAACAACCTGACACCGCCCTTTCTTAAAAATCACCTTTTGATGACGTCACATTGCTGACTCTAAAATAATGAAAGTGCTTAATCTGTCAGCTTCTGATTGTGCGCCGTGGTGCAGGTTTTAGATCGTAATGTAGAAATGAACGCATGAAGGAAAGAAGGCCTAAAGTAAGTGTTGAGGCAGAAAAAGAAATTATGGTATGGAAAGACGTTGCGGGAGGAAAAGTGTTTAAGTGTCGTCCGCAGCAAATAATGTACAGAGCAATCCTTTATATGTTTGTTCACATCAGAATGATAATTTGTAGTTTCCAGAACATCTTCTAGGACTAGTCTACTTCCTGACTGTAACACTGAGCAATCCTCTACCGTTCATCACGTATTCACCTCTGGGTTGGTTTGCTGGAAGTGTCTGTAATTCGTCTGACTGTATTAATAGCTCCATAAATATTAAGCACAATAAAACGGCCGAGAGGAAAATCTAAAACGGCTATGGTTGTAAATGTTCTGAAAGATTTACCTCTAATATTTATGGAGTTTTTACTTTATGGTAAATGTTCTAGAACCATGGTCATGTGCTCCTATACTGCTGATGGGTGTCATTGTGAAGGGGCCAACCCAATGTGTATTTTATCAAAAGGTTCAATAAATACAAACTCCACTTTTCAAACTGATTCTGCCTCCTTTATTTCCACAGGGTGTCCGCGGGGTTTTAAAAAGTATTACAAGTTGATAAATCAATTTAGCGAAAATTACGGCATTTTCCAAGGTATTACATTTTGTAGCTTGTTTTCAATAAGTATATAAATTGTCCAAAGAGGTTGTATAAAGTGTGCCTGAATGTAATCATTGCGTAGGATTGTAGTGTGATTCTTTGTAGTTTATTTATGGCATCCCGTTGGATTTGACGTCATCTGAACAGGACATCGCACGCTCACTGCTTGATAGCGCGCGAAGGTCCGTTTACGCCGGTTGTTAAACAACATCGTTATGGGGAAATACAAGTTTGCGTCCAAATGGTTGGAAGATAAGGAGGAAGGACAATCAATACTGTATATAGTAAATGTTGCGCCAATATAACCGGTTAAAACTCGAAGTCGCGATGAGGTCTTAAAATGTATGGAAAGGGTCTTAAAAGGTATTACATTTGACTTCAGGATTCCTGCATATACCCTGTTACAATAATTTGACCATTTCAAAGTGTGTGAGTTTCACAGAGGAGGTGAGGAGGGGGGGTTTCGCTGCAGCGTCTCGCTCTGTAACTTCCTGTGTCATCGCAGCCGAGCCCCACAAATAGGAAACCAAACCCACCGTGCCGAGAATCTGCAGCACAATGAAAGAGTGATCAGCTGTCTCATCACTGAGATACTATCCTGGTGGGGACAGATCGGAGCTCGGAACCAGGGTTACTAAGTAAGGTTACTAATGTTCAGTTTTTTTCACAATTTTACATTTTAATTAACTCAAGCAGCCTGTTTTTAAGAGAATTAACTCTTTTTGTCACCTGATATCTTGCTCATACTGTATTCTTAGACGTGTCCTATCATGTTTTCTACACTTATAAGTATTTAATATCACATTTTAGTGGTACAAATATATTTGCTACCGGAAATGTGTCACTTACTTAGTCACAATAGTGATTCCATTAATACAAACAGGAAGAATTTGGCATACTGAAAGTTTATCTGCCAAAAAAGAAATACAAATTACATCCTCTATTTTTTAAAGCTTATTCCCAATCAAAAGTCCATAATGCCTCATTTGCTTTCTTTTGAGACACGTTTTAGACAAATATCTACTTTTCCTCTGTTTAACTTCGAGTTTGTCCATTTTTATTAAAAACTATACATGTCAAATCTGTACGTCATCCTTAATCTAATCCCATGTGTCCTCAGGATCTTCCTCCATGTCCGCAGCACCCCCCTCCAGCCCCAGCAGTGTCTCGGCCCCGGCTCTGGTCCAGTTCCAGCTCGGCCTGTTCAGAGAGGTGGTTCGAGTCCCGGCTGGAAACCTGAGCTACCGCCATGCCAGGAGGCTCGCTGCGGAGATCATCGAGCGCAAGGTGAGGTGGAGGTCTCATGTAATACCACTGTGCTGAAGTATATCAAGGGTAACAATGCAGTGGATCAGAAATAGTCTACTGAACCAATATCTGCTGTAGTGGAGATTTCCAGCAGCTTCAAACTATGAAAAATAAGGTCCTGAAAAGCGTTGTTAGTAATAATAGTAGTAGCACATCTTGGACTGAAAATCTGCTTCAAAGAAAGTCTTACTTTGATCATGTTTAGGGGACGTTTTGAGGAAGTGAAGGTCACCACATGCATGATGGCTGCTATGTATAGTTTCTTCTCATTTCACTCCGCTAGCAGGATGTTGTGCGGGTTTCAGCTGTAGTGTAATGCACGTACTCGCAGATTTGACCGACGGTTAAAGCAGGTCTATTTACATTTAACATCCCAATTTGGGATGAAATCTTATCTTATCTTAAATTAGATATTTTTAAGTCGGCTACATGTGTAACACAACCAGACTCAAGATTTGATTTGACAAAAAATATATTCAGACCCTCGATATCACCAAACTGTATTTCTAAAAACAGGACCAATAATCTTTATGATGCTAACATTGAAATCTGCACTCAGTCGGTTTAAAGTCCTCTTAAGCCCCACGGACCCTTCGGCGGGTCCGAAACCACAACATCTGCAACGTCTGAGGGCTTCTTAAGATTTAATAAACGATGAATGTTTCATATCCATGTAACGGGAAGAAACTCAGCTAACTGATGATTTTTTTTTGTTTAGCAAAACGAAACACAAGGCTAACGCTGAGCCTCTGAATTAGCCCTGAGCGAAAAAATGCTAACGCCGTTAGTACAGAACTCACGGTATAACACCCTTATTACTTATCGTAACTGCACATCCAACATATCGATTAGCATCGTAAGAATACACTATCGATAGGTATCTATATCATCACTCCATGATCAGAACTTGCAACATTAGAAACAAAAACAGACATAACAACACGTGGCGCTAGGTAGCAAACACGGCAATATGTCTTACCTCTGTTGTCTGATCAAAAGTTGTCTTCAATGGCATTAAAATGATAAAAACGCTGCTGAAGGTTAATCCATAGGTTAATCAAATGTGTCTGTGTCACTTTGAAATGATTTCTGATAATCCATCAGCAATAAACCTAGTTTTAAGTTTTCAGATTTCAGAGCGTAAGATAGGTTTAGCTTTTGGCAAACTGCGTGCGCATAGCCCCCACTTCTCAATGGTAACGTTGGTGTGTATGTGGAGATTCCCCTTCGATTCTATTGGCTCTAACGGTTCAAAAGAGATGTCAATCATCAAAATCGACCAATGGGTTCCAGAGAAACGGCAAAAATGCCCATTTCCACCCAAATCACCTCAGAGGTGGAGTTTTTTTTGCTAAACCTCTCTAAAAAGGTCAAATGTCACTTGTTTTGCATCAATCTTGATACAGGGTACTTATTATATGTTGTACTTTGGATTCCTAAAGATTTTAGTCTACTAACCCATCATCCAAGGGTAGTTTTCACTATAAGTAAAAAATAAGTTTTGGACGGACACTATAATTTACAGTTTTTTACTATGTTCAATCTGAATTTTCATTAAAATAAAAAACATCTATATTGATTCTGACTTTTTTACATCCAACTCACAGGTTTATCATTACTTTGAGAATAAAGATTATTAATTTAACCCTTTTAGAAGGGAAGATATGGTAATTTGTTCTGGGAATGTCATTTTCGAGCCTGAGACCTGAAAAACAGGCTTGGGGGTTAACAGTTAGTGAGTTGGGGTTAAATGATGCAGGTGTTGTCCTTTGGTCTTCTCACTGCCTCACTCTCAGGGACTTTGTGGTCGACAAGAGCACAGCAAACTTTCCAACCACGGCCTCCCCCCCGCTGTACACACACACACACACACACACACACACACACACACACACACACACACACACACACACACACACACACACACACACACACACACACACACACACACACACACACACACACACACACACACACACACACACACTTCTTTTGACTTGAGGCTTTTCTTCAGTTTCCAGGCAGCAGGTCAGCCCGTCTGAAGAATGTGTTTCACTGCACACTAACCGACATAAAACGGCTGCATCGACACAAAACAAAGGGAAGGAAAAAACCTATGATGCTCTTCGTGTTTTAACAAAGAAAATGTACTGTAGTATAAACATTGCAATAGATGCTAAATATAACAAGTATTTAGAAGAAACATATAAAGTACATGCTTATGAAAACCATCGTCCACAGGGATGATTAATCCACATAAGGAGGAGGAGGAGGGCTCTCCATACAGTACATATATTCTAAATATATGCTGTATAGCTTTTAACACATTGTATATTTGTTTACGTTCTTGATGTTTCAGAATCCTTCAGTTCAAGTTAAACATTTCCCAAAGGATCACAGGAGAAAGAGACTCAAAACTACTGTTAAAACGTTTTTTTGTTATCGTGCCAGAAATAAACGCAGCTTTTTGGTCAATATTGAGCTATAGTGTACTTTGCATCTTATGTATCCACGGCTTTATTATGTCCAGGTAGAATTCAACTAAAAGTAGATTAAACTAAGTCGAATCACTTTCAAATTGTATTTCGTTTTTTCTCTAATCTACTTTTTATTCCATCATGGTTTGTAATCGTAAAGTATTTCTTACAGTCTTAAGATCATAAGTGGTGGATTTACAAATAATTAAGTTAATGTGTTTCTTGGATTGTGTGTGTGTGTGTGTGTGTGTGTGTGTGTGTGTGTGTGTGTGTGTGTGTGTGTGTGTGTGTGTGTGTGTGTGTGTGTGTGTGTGTGTGTGTGTGTGTGTGTGTGTGTGTGTGTGTGTGTGTGTGTGTGTGTGTGTGTGTGTGTGTGTGTGTGTGTGTGTGTGTGTGTGTGTGTGTGTGTGTGTGTGTGTGTGTGTGTGTGTGTGTGTGTGTGTGTGTGTGTGTGTGTGTGTGTGTGTGTGTGTGTGTGTGTGTGTGTGTGTGTGTGTGTGTGTGTGTGTGTGTTCAGGCTCCAGAGTGCAGTGTGGTCGGCCTCGGGGAGAAGGTGCTGCTCTTCAGACATGACTCCTCTTCAGAGCAGCTGCTGCAGCGCCTCACTGTCGAAGACGAGCTGCGGGACGGAGACCTCATCGAGGTCATCGTCGCAGGTGGGCAACAGCTCAGAGCCAGGAGAAAAACTTATCAGGATACTTTTCTGTATTACAATTATCATTCAGTTAGTTATCAGCTGTTTTCAAGTCATTTTAATCACAAGCGTTTCAAAAAGTACAATCACAAAAACTGTCAAAAAGCTCCAAACTACCAGACAGAAATGATTGACAGTATATCTTACAAACACATCCTGAATCTAAGAGAATGTATGTGTTTTACAAAAACATTTATAAGCTAAAAACACAAACTGGACACCCTAAAAACAAAATAAATCTATCCTTAGCTTCTTAATGGTCCCAAAATATTTGTTTCTGATTCGGAGATGTTTTGTAAGATAATGTAAAGTTACGTAATCTGCACTTTATTTCTAGCTATCAATTTGTAATTTAAGAGAAATGGAAGCAATCCATGATTAAAAAACTTCTGTCCAAGTATTTTTAATTCCAGGGG